GGAGATCAGAGTTGTGTTAGGGCACAGATGAACTACTCAGAAAGCTGTCCATTAATTCCTACCAGCAAACAGAGGAATTGAACGGAGAGAAGCTCTGTGCTTCCAGAGGATACAAGGTACAGATACTCTACGGGAAGAAACACGAGTGCTTGGTGAACCTCTTGCCTGTGCTCCCTTCAGGAAGCAATCTGTATCCATGTGGTGGTTGGCAGCAGTCTCTTAGATGCTGCCTCTGCAGAGCCCCAAAGGCAATCTGGGAGTGAGTTTGCGTGGCCTTGGAAACCCGCACAATGATCTAGTTTCAGCCAGATTTCAACAGGGTGTTCGTGCACCAGCAACCCCAAAGCTAACTTAGAAAAAAGGCTGGGGCATTGTAATGGAGGCGGAACCGATGTACTTCTTGGGAGAAGCTAACATTCAAAAAGATCAGTCGTAGGGGCTGATGTATGGAATTGTCTGCCCCTTCTCCTTTAGATTAAGGCTGCCTCTTGTGTGTGAGACGGGATATGCACAGGTACATTGGTGGAATGGGGCTTTCTGCTTGGCTTCTGGCTCCGCCTCTGAAGGTGACCATGGGATAGTAAAATGTGTGGTGTTTATTTACCGTGGGACTGTGTTATCCCGCCTGAGGCACAGGGCTAGACTTAAAAATCCGACAGCATTTTAGAAGGTTTGTGAAGACTGCAATAGCTTACGTAGCCCGTGTCTTTATGGGCTTGTTCTAACCCGTTTCTTGATCTGTGATAACTGGAAGTCCAGTCAAGATCATCTGGTGATTCTAGGTAACTGTCTGGTTATGAAATCTGTGAAAGCAGACTCTGCTGATAGACCTGGGGACTCTCTAATCCAGTGAATTAATTGTGGAAGTGAAACTTGTAATGGATGTTGAGTGTGGACCTGTATTAACCTTCTATGACTTGTTTGAAGTAATTGCCTTGCAGTGATACCGTGGTGTTCTGTGGTGGTACAGCTTAATATCAGACCTGCCAGAGTCAGCAAGAAGGTAGGGAATAAGCAGTCGTCTGACAAGCATGAAGAGGAAGCTAAGAAACACAACCTGCGTTACTGAGCTCCCGTGGGGATGTGGGTTGCAGCCCTTCACGCATGGGAAGGGCCCCTGGAGGCCACCTGAAGCAGAGGGACCTTTCTGGAAAGCTGGGCTTTTCTGAGCTTCCAGATCATCTCGTGTGTGCTAGTTTAACATTTTACTCATCGTTGCTATAAAACCCCATTTCTCTCATGCCTTATGTCCCTGCCGGTAAAAGTCAGCATCAGGAGAAGCTGGCTGGGTACCGTACCTGCCAGTGATAGCAGCGCCCAAAGGGACAACACGGGGTACTGAGCTCACCCCCCGCAGCTGAGGAGTTACCAACAGGAGCAGTCGCAATGGCCTGCTCTCTGAGGTGAACCCGTGAAAGATCTCACCCTAGGCATTAAAGGTGAGGTGATTAACGCGAAGGGGCACACTAAAATCCTGCAGCCCAGAGGTACAGCTGCTTCTGGAACAAAGCCTTGAGTGCTTACATCCAGTCCCTCCTCACTCACCTACTCCTTAAGCAAGGGCTGCCAAGTCACTTAGGGTGACAGTACTTAAGCATCTAAAGAAGCACACAACACTTTGGAAAAATCTACCACTTCTGCTAATTAACTTCCAATTTTAAGAAAAAAAAATTGTAATTTTTTTTTTAACCTGTTAGCTTCTCTGGACCTCAGTTTCAAGGCTTGCAAGGACTAGGTATATTACCTGTGAAATACAGGTAACATTTCATTTCACACTATTATAAGGCTGTCATGGTTTAACCCCAGCCAGCAACTAAGCCCCACACAGCCACTCGCTCACTCCTTCCCTGTGGGATGGGGGAGAGAATCGGAAGGGTAAAAGTGAGAGAACTCATGGGTTGAGATAAAGACAGTTTAATAGGGAAAGCAAAAGCCGCACACACAAGCAAAGCAAAGCAAGGAATTCATTCACTACTTCCCATGGGCAGGCAGGTGTTCAGCCATCCCCAGGACAGCAGGGCTCCATCACGTGTAACAGTTACTTGGGAAGACAAATGCCATCACTCCGAACATCCTCCCCCTTCCTTCTTCTTCCCCCAGCTTTATCTGCTGACCATGACGTCATATGGTGTGGAATAGCCCTTTGGTCACTTGGGGTCAGCTGTCCCAGCTGTGTCCCCTCACAGCTTCTTGTGCAGCCCCAGCCTGCTCGCTGGTGGGGTGGGGTGAGAAGCAGAAAAGGCCTTGACTCTGTGTAAGCACTGCTCAGCAATAACTAAAACATCCCTGAATTATCAACACTGTTTTCAGCACAAATCCAAAACACAGCCCCGTACTAGCTACTGTGAAGAAAATTAACTCTGTCCCAGTCAAAACCACACAAAAGCCCATGATACACACAATCATAAAAGAAATGTCACTAGAACTAACCCGTGGCAAAGGCAGGAGCATAGTACTCAGCAGTGCTAGAGAATAGCTGTATGCAATCTCATGCAATTAACTATCCACAAACAGTTGGACTCAATGATCTTCAGGGTCTTTTCCAACCGTAACGATTCTATGTGACATCTTTCAGACGCATAAAAATGCACATACATCAAAGTTGTAATTTCATGCAGTCTAAACTTCCAGAATGTGAAATTGCACAAAGCGGAATGATTGCACACAAGATGAAGAGGCTCTTTCCATTTTACACAAATACAGTTATGTTTCTTTGTTAGGTATCTCGAAAACAAGTAAACCTTGGGAATTAAGTCTTTCTTTTGGATCTAAAAGGAACATGCATAATCAATGCTGCTGTTCATAGATGACTAGTAAGTTTCACAGAGAGTGTGTATCTTTAAACTGCCAACAGGAATAAAAGCAAGCTCTAACAGCCATGAAACATACCCATACCTGTGTGACACTGTCATAGTCTTGTTTTACACTGCAGAGTGGGCAGCACAGTGTTACAAGTCGGCATTGCTGAAAATGCATGCTCAGAGTACTTGCGTTGCATTTGTGACTGCTGATGAATGCTTCAGGCATCAGCAGGCACGTTCACTGTTTCACAGGGCGGGTGATCTACATGAAAAGCAGACTGGATAGCGGTGTGTTTGGTGCAGTCTTTCAGCCTCTTCCTCAGCCGAAGGTCCAGCTCTGCTGGCTCACCAAAGCGTGATGGTTAGCCCAGTGCCAAACCGTGCTGAGTGCGTAAAGGTGCTGGGTTTTGCTGTGGCTGCTGCCACGGCTGGGGAGGTAGCGCCGCGTGGCATGGCTGTGCCTCAGTTAACAGCCTCCCAGCAACGGCAGCAAACATCCACTTGGAAATATGTGGAAACCAGTTCCATGTGATGTGTAGGTCCCTTAGCCCAGCAACTGGAAATGAAGAGAAATGCCAGCACTGTGTCGCCATCCAGGTTTCTGTTCATCATCACAAAGTGCTGCAGAGGTACAGACCTTAGCCTGAAAACCTTTTGCTATTTTTTCAGTCAGAAACAAACAACGAGAGAATATGCATATGTATCCATTTGTAAGATATTGCTGACCAGCCTCTGTAAAATAATGAACTGTACTTAATCTTTAGGAATTTCATTTTAATGTCTCTACAGCAACAACAACAAAAAAATACTAAAATGACCTCCCTTCCTTCCAGTCTATAATTCTTATATTTAATAGCATTTTGTTTCAATAATTGCTTTCATGCAGAAAATATTACAACACAAATAATAACCAAAACAATACTCTCATTATTGTCTAGGCAGCTCAGTGAAAGCTCCAAGAACTCATTATAATACACTTTTCATGCAATTTGCATTACAATAATGCAGATTAAGTCTCTTGAAAAGTAGACATGATAAAGAAGTCAAATGTATTTCCAGAAATTTGCCCAGACTGTTTAGCTGTTGTTATATGTTAATCCCATTATTTTTCATGATCAAAACTTTAAATCGTGAACAGGTTTTTTTTTTTCCCCACAGAAAGGCAACATAAATTAGGGTGTACTTAATACAATGCAAAATATAGGGCATAATATGACCATCTTTGTGGTCTCTGAGACATTTCTAGGTAATGATGCTGCTTTTATAAACAGGAAAAAAAATTTGCCACAGTGGACAGTCATCTAAGTATATGTCCTTAAGCTGAAAGGAGATTGGTTGTTTTTTAAGAATAGTTGTAGTTCATGTTTCCTATTCACTTCAGTATCTCTTTTTGTGTTGACAATTATCACAGCTCTTGCCAGACTGCTGACTGAGCTGAGAAAAGGGTCATCTCCAGTTTATTCCTCTCCCTTGAATGCAAAAATCTAGCTGTGCTTGTGTAGCCTCCTCACTTCTTACCTCTCTTCTTTATGCCCGTGCAGCTAAAACACTTGCTGGAAATAGTCCTAAGGGCAGCAGTGGCTTTTCCACGTAGGAAAGGTGCGGTAATGTTAAAAGTACGAAGGCAACATATGTGCTGAATGTAATACACAATTTCAAAGAACAGAATATATTTTCAAAGAGTTGAATGCTTTGAGGAGTTTAGAAACTGAATAGTAGGACAGCTACCAGTAACTATTTCAAAGTAAGCTTTCAATTTTGTATTTTTCAATGGGGTAGTGGAAATGTGATGTTTTACTGGTAGTGTGAGCCAATTCATGTTTTACTTTCTAGATGTCTCATTACATTAGTATGTTTTGAGTATACTTCACACTTCATTTTGTTCTTTTAAATATGCATACAGAGAGTAGGTGGGGTTTACTTCATTTAAATTTAGATACAGCCAACCATGTTTGTTTGGGTTTTTTACACCTTTTTTGTTTGAAAATAAGACTCTCTTTATTGTATTCTTTTCAGGGGGAGGAGGGGTAGTTACTAACTGTTTCAGCTATTGAATTAAGTAATTTTCATCATCTTTGCTGATGTTGACAACATTTAAAGCATCTGCGTCCTTTTCAAGGCTGGTCTGAGAATAGCTACGCTAAAAGGAACCCGTTGGTTAAAGCAAGCTTGTCAATAACTCTGCTTCTGCTCTCCAAGTGTTGCAGGTGGAGAGCTCTTCGACTTCTTAGCTGAGAAAGAATCTCTCACGGAGGAGGAAGCCACAGAATTTCTCAAACAGATACTTAATGGTGTTCAGTATCTCCACTCTCTGCAAATTGCCCACTTTGATCTTAAGGTGTGTTGAGCAAATAAAAACTTCGACAAATGTAAGCAACATCCGTTAAAAGTCCTCTGTAATATCAGCCACAGTTATGCCATTGTGCAGATCTTGGCCGTAGTTTTGTTTTGCTAGTATATGTAGACAGGGGAAAGCTCAGCCATTGAAAATAAATTACTGAACTGTAAATAGTTCCCATCTGTTTTTAATGTAAGATTCTTCATGGAAAATGGCAACTTCTGACGAAATTAAACCAATCTGAGGAAGCAATCTTGAAATAAAAATGATGATTATGATTTTATGGAATGCGAATGGGATCTGGATGAAACATTCTGAACAGGGTGCCTTTTTCCCAACTTTTTTTTTTCTGTTGTATGCATTTTATGTTCACGTGAACGTTATTTATAGGTACTAAATTGCAACAGTACAGAGTTAAGTACAAAGACTCTTGTGGAGCAGACAGCAGATAATTTCCTCTTCTTTTTTGCTTTTGGGGCTTTTTTGTTTGTTTTTAGAAAAACTGTTAATTGCATCCTTTTAGTAATGAAAGAGAGCTTTTGTATCTAAACTCGGTTACTGCTTTTTTAATGTTTCAATTTCAGAATGTTTTCCTCTGTAAGATTTTTTTCAGAGGTAGGCAGCTGTACATTCCCTGAAGTCTGCTGAAGTTGGCAGCTATGTCTATAATAGGAAAAGGAGGCATAATTATTGTATTTTAATGTGGTTCTGAAAGAGGTGCTGTGTTCTGGGGATGGGGTAGGGAAGGGAATGGTTTTCAGGGTAAGCATACCTTTTCCAGTCTCATCCTCATTACCTACAGTAATATATTTGGTCTTTGTATGACAGTCAGCAAGAGCAAAGAATTGTGAATCTAGTAAGAAATATATTTTTTACAATACAGAATGTAAACTTTTGCCAATGTGCTTGTAATAAAGCATCCTTACACTAGATACCAAGAATATGTGAATTAAAGTATGCAGCAAGAATTAAAGTATGCAGAACAATAAAAGTATGCAATAGAAATTTAGGGAGGGAAGGAAGAAAATCACATTTGCACATATCAGCCTCTGTAGCTGGGATAGAGAGGTAAAAGACAGATGATGATGAAGAGCTGTCCGTAATGACTCCAGAAGTCCTTAACAACGTGAGCAGGATGGGTGTAGCTCCAGTAACTCTTCAGAGCACGCCAGCTTATGGACACGACAGGATATGGAGACTAAGTAGCTGGTTCTGAATGCTCGTTAAAGTGATGGAGTGCAGAGGCAGGCTCCTTTGATGATAATCTTGACACTTTATCTTCTAGCTTTGTTTTGGTTTTGCAAATCTTTGTGGTAAAATAATCCAAATTTGGTCCATATTCTACAATATAGCTAGAAAAGACATGAGAACCTGCTCTTTATCCTTTTTTGTAAGTATGTTGAGCCTCAAAATCTGGGAGCTGGACCATTCCTAAAGTTTCTCTTGGAGATGCAAAGGCAACAAGATCTACCTCCCTGATTGCTTGTGCAGCGTGAAAGAAACCTCTTTCAGGGAGTAATGTTAACCAAGCCCAAATACTAGTTTATAGGACTTTGTTCCTTGCAAGCTCCCAGCACTGCTCGAATGGCTGTAGCACAGGGGCTGCGATCTTTACTGAAGACACCGTGCTTCACTTAGGGTCAGTCCACATGAAAACTGCAGCTGTTGTATCTACAAGAGGTAGAATCTTGGCCCTGGGGAAATCATAGCACTCTGCATCAATGTGAAATCTGAACTTACTGTAGTTAGTTTTTAGCATATGTTAGATTGTAATAGGAAAATACAGGATTTTTCTGCTAAAGATGCAATTCAAGAGGCTGAAGGAGGTAAAGAGAAGTGTTCAGTGCTGAAGAATGCTGGTATGTGTCTGACATTTTGTACCTATGTATAATCTCTCTCTCTCTCCCCCTTCCTCTTTCTCAAAGCCTGAAAATATAATGTTGTTGGACAGGAATGTGCCAAAGCCTCGAATCAAGATTATTGACTTTGGTTTAGCACACAAAATTGACTTTGGAAATGAATTCAAAAATATCTTTGGAACGCCAGAGTTTGTTGGTGAGAAAACTGTTGTTTCTTCAAACTATTCTTTCTCAGTCTGTGAAACAGTGTATGTGGCTTAGCTTGGTTTGGCTGAGTTACAGATGATGTAATTTGTGTGTAATTCATGACATTTTGAAATTTAAATAAGCACTTTGTAGCATTCAGTTCCAACTTAGACTTGCATTACGGTGTTTCTATCTATCAGTATCTTAGCTTATTATCTCTGACACATATAGGCTCAGAGTGACATAGATCTGTTCTTTGACTAGGTACTGATCTTCCTGCTTTCTCCTTTAGCTCCTGAAATAGTAAATTATGAGCCTCTTGGCCTTGAAGCAGATATGTGGTAAGTTATTGGATCTTACTTGAAATAAATCTCTCATGATTATTCTTATGTTCTAACCTTTTTTTTTTTTCTCTCCTCTCTCTCCCTCCATCTGTTTCTCTCCCTTCTCCCTCATCATCTTTTTTTTTTTTTTGGTCCCCTTCCTTCACTCCAGGAGCATTGGTGTAATAACTTACATTCTGTAAGTACCAAAATCTATGAGTGGTTCTTGCAAATGCTGTTTTTTAATTCTGATCCTGTCCTCTGGGGTTTTGGTGGCGTCTATACAAGTCAAACGATTTTGATTGCACATCATGATTCAAGTTGAATGATCATAAAAGCAATAGTATAATTACTGAAAGAGTGGCCGCTAATCAGCATTGAGATAGCATGGGAAGCTGTCTTGAAATCTGTAAGTGATTTTCCACAGCAGCTTTATCTTAATCAATATTCCCTGAAATTACAGTAAAGCTTTCTGCCCTGTTAGATCACATCTTACTGAAAGTACATTTGCAGTCCTAAAGTGGAAAAGAAGAATATTCACTTTCTGCTGTTACTTGACCTCAGAGGGTTGAAACAGCAATGTTAAAACATGTAATGAGAGGAATGTTCTGTCTTTCTTGCAGTCTAAGTGGTGCATCACCATTTCTTGGGGAAACCAAACAGGAAACATTAGCAAATGTGTCTGCTGTGAATTATGAATTTGAAGAAGAGTTCTTCAGTAATACCAGTGCCCTAGCTAAAGATTTTATACGAAGGCTTCTAGTCAAGGATCCAAAGTGAGTTGTTATTCTTGTGTATGCACTGTTGCAGCCTATGTCTCTAGTATTTCAAATTACATGAAATTTTGAGATGTTAGTTTAATAAACATCTAGCAGTATGTATTTTTTACTATCTGAAACAGTTCTGTCTTTTATTCTATTAAAGGAAGAGAATGACTATTCAAGATAGTTTGCTGCATCCTTGGATCAAGGTTAGCATGTAATTCATTCTCTGTTGTCCTGTTTTAATCATTCTTCACTACATACTTTGCTTTTGGTTTTCAAGTTCCTTAATAAAGAAAATTGGCATAATCCTTTAATATAACGTACTGTTTTGGAAAGCTGTCTGTATGAAAACTAACACGTGCAGAATGTGGACTTCTTTAACATACCCTCTCTATAAGTTAGCAATAGGGAAGTAGCCCACTATTGAGATTAAAATCATGCGCAGGCAGAGAAGCTACTCTTCAGGGAGCATTGCAGTGACAAAGATACATTCTATGAATCCAGTCCAATTTCCTCTCACATTTTTCATTTTTTAATCTCCTTATTTAGACTGGGCAAAAAAGAGTCATCTCTCTTCTGTCCTTCCTCTTTAGACTGAAGAAAGCAGTTGATGCAGGGCAGTGGTCCACTTTTTCTTTCAGTGTTCCACAGTGTTCAGTTTGGATCAAGCTGTTGTGGTGCGACTAGGTTGAGAGGGAGAAAATGGGACCTATCATTCTTCTTAATGTGTGTAGAAATACCTGCCACACAATTTTTTCAATTCCGTATCAGATCCTGATTGTGAGTAGTAAACCTCTTCAGTGCCATTGATTTCCCAGGTCTTGGGGATGCACAGTGGATATTTGACCCCATTCCACTTCCCAGAGAACCAGTTAGCAGAATATTCATCTGTGACACAGCTGCTCCAGTTCACAGTTCAGCATCCTAGAGCAGACATTTCTACACCAATATACCAAACTACAGATTTGACTGTGCTTTGCTGACTTTTTGGTGGGGTAATCTTAAAGAGTTGAAACATGTTGAACGTGTTGAAATTATCTTTTAAACTGCTGAAGCAAGCATCGTCTAAGTTTGTCTCTCAGGGACCAAGGTCTCCACTCCTGCAGCAAGACATGTCATTTTGTACTTTGTTATGTTCCTTTATATCTTAACTTTCTGGTCATTTTCCCCCCACCCCACTGGTCATATCCTGTTTTCCCCCCTTCCCATCACTACCTTTACCTGCATTTCTCCATAAAAATGACTTCAAGTATTGGATCATATAATGCAAAATTTGGTATACTCCATTGGTAACTGGTGCTTAGTATTAGCCTATGAGAAAGTTCAAAGGGTGCAGCCTTAGAGCTTGCTGCACAGGTAGGTGGGATGTGATTTTTTTGGGTCCCAGCAGCTGGTTACACTGAGACTGGAACAAAGTTTGACTGTATTTAAAATCAACCAGGAAATCTTCTCAGAAGACAAGATTTATCTACGAGATGATATCCAATGCCTCCATCACAGAGGGAGGTGAAGGATAAAACTGAATGTGCTGTTGGCTGTTGGCTTTTTTTGTTTAAAAGGAAAAAACAAATTTTAGTACTGCATGGAATATTCTTAGGTCTGGATTTCCTTTACAGCATTTTCTCAAGAAATTCCATCTGCGTGTCCCACTAGGCTGTGGACGTTAAAATTATGTGCCTACAATTACTTTGTTAGTACAGTATGATTACAGTATTATTATAGTGTAAGTGGAAGTCATCACTGAAGGACAGAGTCTTACATACAGGAAGGTGCTTTATGAAAGTTCTGGTTGTAATTGTGGGGTATTTTACAACAGCTTTATTTTCCTTTTGCGCATAGCCTAAAGACACCCAGCAAGCACTTAGTAGAAAAGCATCTGCAGTGAATATGGAGAAATTCAAAAAGTTTGCAGCACGACGAAAATGGAAAGTAAGTCATTCAATAAACCTTCAAAACGTTGGTGACATACAAATGCAGTAACATTACCTGCTCCAGGGAAGCATCAGTGCCTTTAAGGGTGGAGAAGAAGGAAGAAGAAACCCATTCCTCTGTCAGTTGGAATAAATTAGCTGCTTGAGTGTGCTGGTATGGGAGAAGACTTCTTTGTTAATGATCTGCATACAAATGCTTGTGTGTGGATTGTTTGTTTTATGCATCTAGCTGTGTGCTGTCATCATCTATCTTGGTAATGTTTTCAGAGAAAAGGCACTTCTAAGTGTAGGTACATGTTTTTGTGACAGTAATACCAGTAAATCAAACATCCCTTAAGCAGGCCTAACAGAAGTAGTTATTCCAGTAGTTATGCCAACACTCAACAGAGTAGGAAGGAAAAACCAGTCTCTTTTGCAAAACATTTTTGGTCTGAGACTGCCAACCTGTTTAGAAGGTTGGCATCACTTAATCTTTCCAGAAGTGGGGCAAGCTATTTAGCTGAAAGTGTTGATCTACGCAAGGAGAAGTTCATCAAGACAGTTATCCTTCCTTCTTCAGCATGCACACTGGGGAGTTCACACTGGTACTAAGCAAGGGCAGGACTCTGTTGTATGAGAAATCTGTTTATCACGAGGAGAGATGAAACATGAGACAACAGAGGTTGCTATTATTAGAAAAGGAGTTTTATTCATTTCCACAGAGGCCAAGAAATAGTATGATTTTACTAAGCTATGGACCAAAGGCACAAAACATCCAGCTATGCAGTACAATTTTTTTGCCACAGTTTAGTGTCTGTGTTAGGTGAACATCTACAGTATTTATAAAATCTAAGTACTAGTCTGCTGCCCTAGAATGAAATGGTGGGTCTAGGAATGTCTTAAACTGTTTTGTAATATGGCGTTTAAAGGAATGCTGTCAGCTAATTTATACTCAGTTTAGGTTTTCTGTGTGTACATACTTTAAAATATGTCATTTAAATTTTTTCAATGTGAGCAAGAGGATGCAATACAAATCTGTTTTGCTTTGTATTTGAACAGCTGGGTAAAATAGTAGCAATCCAAAAATATTATGTAGCTTTGCTTAGTGCTTATGAGTAGCCTATTCGGATTATAAATGTCAAAAGAAACTGAAGGTTCGATGCAATATAAAAAGGAGTTAGGGGGTGTTGAAGTCAAACTCCAGTTTGTTTTGCTAATATGACAGTACTCCTTTAAAATCTCTGCAGTAGCGTCTTATCACAAATATTCTGTTTTGATTTTTTTTTACATATAGCTTTTTTCTTCTTATTTTTAAAAAGCAATCAGTGCGCTTAATATCCTTGTGCCAAAGATTATCAAGATCTTTCTTGTCCAGAAGTAACATGAGCGTCGCTAGGAGCGATGATACTCTGGTAAGTGTGTACTTACATACGTAGAATGCTTTACTGCATCTGAAACTTAACATTTTCTGAAATGATTCTAACAGAAATATTGGGCTATTGAAAATGTGTTTAATTAATTAATCTCATATGTAGGAAGGAATAGATTTTAAGGCTATAGAGGTCAGTTATCCATAGTCTGATCTTCTGCATGACATAAACCTTGAAATCTAATTTATTAGTTACCATGGCAAGGTTGATAGCTAGTGCCAGAAATTCATCTGTCTTAGTTTTAAAGTTTGATTCAGGAGGATTTTTTTGTACTGTAGCAATTATAATGTGGAAAAGTTGCATCTGAATTTTTCATGGCAGTGTGTAGAGTAATAATACTGCATTTTTTGAACAGAATAGTCAAAACCGTTGCGACCCTCTTGGATCCAATGAATGCTAGACAGCAGTATCAGAACAAGCAGTTATTTAAGGAGGAAATTTTAAAGTTGGACGGTATTCAGTTTGTGGTATTATATACGTCTACTAGATTTAAGTAGTCAGGAGCAATTGCTGTATGGTTTGTAATTGCAAATGCTTGTAAATCCAAAAGCATTCTTATTTAGCTTCCTCTCCAGGTTTTAATACACACTTCACAAATTCCCTGTGATCAGCAACATATGTATGTTAATATGTTTAGAGCTGGGTAACCTCATCTTTTCTGTGCCTTAATAGGATCAAACTTCAAAAATTCTGCAAAGCCCTTTTTATCCATATTAGCTTCCCTGTATCCCTCCTGTGCAACTCCACACTCTTGTTTCCACTTTTCCTCCTCTTATCTTTCTGCTTCCATGTTCTTTGTTGTCTCAGTCTTGCCCTCCTTCCCCTGCCTCCCCCACCTCAGCTATCAGTATGCCTTTTAATACGGGATCAGCATTTCAGACCTGTGCTGCAGTAGAAAGGACTGTAGCCTAATGTTAGTATTCTAAAAAATCTGAAACCTCAGGAGAGAGGAGGTAAGAGTGATCCAAATATTGGGCTCAGTGAATTTCAGTTGTTTGACATTTTAGTGCATGGGAGAAAAATAAAGTTACACCTGCAGAGGTATCTAGGCTCATTACTTATGCTCTAGATTTTTAACTGGTCCATTTGAATAGATGAAAGCGCGGTCCAAAGTACCTCTCCTGTGTCATATTCCTGGATGGTGTGAAACTTGATACTCCAGTTTGTATTTTTGTACCTCTTCATTTCTTTAATGTTCACATATATGCATTGAATTAGTTTCATTTCATGTAAGTGTTGCATCTATTGAAAGTCCTAGGAGGAAAAAGAAAATACACCTAATGAAAGAAACTTGTTTGGAGTCTCATTGAGTAACAGGTTTGTATGTGAAGAAGAGGGCATATTGTACTAGAAAAAGTGTGGGGGCTTTTGGTGTGGGTTTTCAAATAACATGCGTACATGTTAGCCATATGCTTCACGAAGGATTACAACTTGCAGCTGAAGCACTATAAAACACTTTGAAAATTTTACTGTTTTAAATTTTTTAAATGTCTTGGCAGCTGTTTAGATAGGGATTTTTTTCCTTGAAGCTAACAATTTTTCTTCTTTCTCATCTAATTACAAGGATGAGGAAGATTCTTTTGTGATGAAAGCTATTATTCATGCCATCAATGATGACAATGTTCCTGGATTACAGCACCTTCTGGGATCTCTGACAAATTACGATGTCAATCAACCCAACAAGGTAGTGTGGGTCTGTGTTGAGGTGCGTGGGGGACTAGCTATCACCCTGTTGAATAGAGCAACGTGGTTGTAAAATAAAAATGTAACATCTGAAATGAAAAGGAAGAGACAAGTGGATGCGAAATAATTCTGCCTTTCTTTAGGAGAAATTTTAATGTGTTCTGTGTTCAGTCTTCTCAAACTACCTGAAAATGGAGCCCAGAATGTTTTTCTTTGCCTAGGCCTTTGAAAAAGTATTAATCAAATCCGTTGTCAAGAGCTGTGATATATCAGATATCAGCCTTTGCTTTTGTTTGCAGTTGTTGTTTCTTGTGGCAGATGAAGATGGCAGAACATGTAGGAATAACCAGACTGCCAAAAACTGACTTTGCAAAGCACTGTTAGAAACAAAAGTCCCATACTGCAGAAACTGGTTATGTGAACATAATATTAGATGATGTTGTTCATGTTCAGGAATGAAATTACTTGCCTACTACACTATTTCAGTGTACTGCTGCTGTACTAATGGGAGTATTGGAACTGAGACCAAGAGACCAAAGTTCTGTTTCTGGCTCCGCTGTTTAACCTTGGATAAATCATCTCTGCTCTAATTTTCACTTTTTTGAGTGGTTATACTGACGCTCATTATAAAATACTTTGAGAAATATTAATGAAGAGCACTATAAAAGTAAAGCATCTGTCATTTTACTGTGATAAGGTCTTGAACCTTTCAAGAAATCACTGTATTTTTTGTTTTAATGGTGCAGTCCCATTTGACTTTCCCATATGTTGCTGGTGGCTTGTGTCTTTGAGGTGGTGTGGCAAACACCTTAGGTAATCTGGCTTAAAAAGTAGATATAATGGAAGTTGCAAAGGGGAACATCCTTGCCAAATTGGGCTAATTAGAGCTTAACATTATATTTCTAATTTGAAAATCATGCCTTTAATGTGCGGTGTATCATTTAGTAAATGGGAATTCATCCCAAAAATATGGAAGATTGCTGCGCAATAAACTTCTTCGGACAAAGGGACAAATTATTTTCTATACAGTATTCCTTGAAGACTTAATTTGAAACTGGAAATCCAGAGGTGCCATTCAATAACTGCCTTCTCCTCCACTCTCTTTTCTTAATCCTTGAAAAATTAACTATATCGTTCTTGCTTGTATTTCATTGTCAGCATGGAACACCTCCGCTACTGATTGCTGCTGGCTGTGGAAACATTCAGATGCTTCAGTTGCTTTTAAAGCGTGGATCCCGTATTGATGTTCAAGATAAGGTCAGAGCTCTGCTTTGTCACTGCTCTGTATAAGTTTTTTAGTACAGTTAGCAGAGGACAAGCAGTTCAGACCAAGCTGTATTGGAAATGAAAAAATCTGTGCTGTAGAGCCTGTTTTCTGTCTTCTACAGCAAAAAGATAAAAGCAAATCTTTAATAATGTCACTTATTACTAGTGCATATCCTCTGATTTCCATCACTTTATTAGCTGAAGTAATTTGAATGACACTTATCCTAAATTGTAGTTCATGCTTACACAATTGCCTCAATTAGTTCAAATTAGTGATTGCCCTAAAACACAATGGTGAACTTTATTTAATAAATGCACATTTTAGCGTTGAGGAATATCACAACTAAAACTCATAGATGATGGAGGGTATGCTTTGCAATAATTTTTTTTTCAAAATGTGTTATAGCGGTCCTGGGTTCATTTAAAGCAAACTTGAAGCACTGTCTTCTTGTCTATGTAATAGATGGTAAAGTAAGCAGCAGAAAAGCTTTTATCTCCTGACTGTTCTTTCCAAAAAACTCCCTTACATGAGGGAAGAGGATCATCCTTTCAAACAGTCAGTGATCCTGTTAATCATCCTTGCATAGAGGGGTTTTTGTTGTCATTGTTGGTATGTGGGGTTGTTGAACCAATTTGAAGATTTTTTTTTTTAAAGTAAACATGTTCATATAAGCTTGATATATATCAATATATCTGTGTAGATCTAAGTGCATGTGTACCTCAGTTGAAAATCTAGAATTAGGATTCTAAATTGATCAATAACCTCTCTAATCAAATATTTTTGACAGGCTGGATCTAACGCAATCTATTGGGCTTCTCGACATGGTCATGTAGAAACACTGAAATTTCTCAATGATAATAAATGTCCTTTGGATGTTAAGGATAAGGTAAGAAAAAAATTCTTTTCATTTTTCATGCAGAGAGCCTTTTTTCCATAACTTTTATCTTAGCAAAGAGCGAGGTCTTTCAATTGGAATGATTCTCAGCTGTGCCATAATTCCAAGAATGTGACTGGCTTTTTCAGTGTGGTTTTGTAAGCTGACATATAGGGCTGTGATAACACAGCTTTAAAGTAGCTGGATGTACTGATTATTTTCCTGACAAATGTTAACCAAGCGTGCATATTAAATGTGGTGAGTACATGGTGGGTAGGTGGGGAAGTACAAACCTAAATTAATTTTCGCTTGAAGACTAGATTGCTCATTGGAACTCAGAGTAAAATCGTGATTCTATTTTTCATTCCTCTTGATTGAAAATCACTTTTGTCTGACAAGTAAATTTGACTGTTATTAAGTTGAGTATAATGAAGCCTAACAATTTATAGCTGATGAGCACTTACCTTGTCTCCAGCAGTGTTACTTGAGCAACATTTGCCCTAGAAAGTTGTTGCTGTTAAAATCTTATACCATAGCGATGTTTTTATACTAGCCAAAGCTCCAGTACAGAGGCAATTATACCTGTGAAACACAGTTTGCTTTGTTGAGGGAACTAGTGCAAGGCAGGGCACGTTAGCAAAATTAGCGTTCGACTCCTGATAGGACTACTAGGAAAGAGTTTACTCTCTTAATAAAGATACCATTTCTTTTTCATATAATTTCAACAAAAAGTTGCAAATAATTACATGTAATGACCAAAATATGCTGGGATATACCAAGGTGTTAGGCCAACTCCCTACATTTGTATATACAGGGCAGAGGGGAGACGTATGGAAATAGTATGAATAGAAATAGGACGTCTGTTTCAACATCAATTGCACACACAGCTGCCGCCTCGTATTGCTCAGAAATCCCATTGTGGCTGTGACCTGGAACAAACTAAGTAGGAAAATAAGTTCTGAAAAAGGAAGGCCTTTGAAGAAATAACCTGTCAGGTGGTGGTGTATCTGTCATGGTACAACTACAGTTTGTAAGCAGGAGATCCCTTGTGACCACAGCTGTGCCGCTAGTTTATGGGGAGGGAGGTGTACCCCATGCAGCATACACACATTCAGGCTGTACACGGCAGTGTATATCTAGGGGTGACATATGAAATTACACTGGCATGTTCTTCTGTAATTGCAGTCTGGAGAGACCGCTCTCCACGTCGCAGCTCGGTACGGGCATGTGGATGTGGTTCAGTTTCTCTGTGGCATTGGATCCAATCCAAACTTTCAAGACAAGGTGAGTCATGGACACTGTCTGGTTTTCTTTAACAAATAAGGCTTTAGTATGAGTGGTCAAAACCCTTAGTCTTGCCTTGCTGCCTCTGTCATATTTGCATTTGAAAAATATAACAGAATTATGGAGGTTTCAATACCTCTTAATAGATGAAGACTATGCAAAAAACAGTGTGCATGAACGAACCACTGTTATAAAACACAGGTTCTCTTGAAAATGAAATCCTAACCATGGAGAAAGTCAATATCATGAAGGTATGGGTGGTGGTGTGTGCTCTGTGACTTCAGCTAAAGCTTTTTATTAGTTTTTGCCTTGACTTCAGCTTGCTTTTAGCCGTCATGGGGCTTTCCTAAAGTGTCAAGCACTCATTGTTGGAAATGAGAGGAGGGCTCAGGAGGGCTTCTTTAGTGCTCTGAACTCTTGTGAGAAAACAGGAAAGAAAAGGCTTAATAGAAAAAAAAAAATCCATTTGACCGAAATTTAACTGTGTGTGGGAGTTCCACAGGCCTCCCCAAGTGCTGTATCCTCTAGGACTACCTTTATATCGTTTAGGCAGCAGCAGGCCAAGGGACCACAGGACATGCTGTTCGACTATTTATTTTTCCTCAGATTTTGAAAGAAACCTTGAATACTGTCCAAGTCCTCTAATATTATCAGCATCGATTGTTTCCTCATTGATATTTGCCAGGTACAGAAAGCATATCCCATTTCTTAGAATTTGATAGAATGACTTTTTTGGTGGGTTTTAATCCTCCCTGCTTTTCAGTAGGCTACTTTCAATAGTGTATTTTTGTAAAACATTTGAGTTTCTTAATGGTGTGCCACATAACTGTTATGAAGTACACAGAGATTGAAAGTGAATATTTTGAATCTTCCTGGGTTCAAGCAAAAAACAAATTAGAACTTCAGTCACAACTGAACTCAAAGTGTCTACAGTTTCAAAGGTTTGTCGTGATGCACATTTAAAGGACTTGGGTTTCTACGTACCCAAGTCACTGCCTGCGCTCCTAAGTCATTAGGATGTGATTTTTGAACATGGTATGCAGAGTGATCTGCCTCAAACTGCAAGTCTAGTGGGATTTCCATCTCCTTGGTGAGCGATCTGTTTTAAACACTGGATTAGTCCCTCAGCACACAGGATGTAGAAGTTGCTTATGAACGAGGATCAGTTTTCAAGTGAGAGAACCATGATAGTTAGCTTCAGGAGCATAGAAATATATAAACTAAGATTGCTGTTGTGCAAGGTGTTGTCAGTAGATAGTTTTATGGTGAGAAATAAGTACTCTCAGAATCCAGGTAATGATGAAAATCTAGTGCGTTACCGTAATCACTTGGTATGTCAGCAGAAGTTATTCTTGTTTTGAGAATGTCAGCATTAGAAATTACAACATCTTTTTATAGGGCTTTCTTTGTAGGCAGTCTTTTTTCTTTAGTGTCATCTTGCTGTCTTTCTGTTAAGCTGGGGAGTTGTTCCTCCTGGCATTTAGTTCAGCTCTGACTTTTATTTTATTTTCCATGTTGATAGGAAGAAGAAACCCCACTGCATTGTGCTGCTTGGCACGGCTACTACTCTGTTGCCAAAGCACTCTGTGAAGCAGGTTGCAACGTGAACATTAAAAACAAAGAAGGGGAGACTCCGCTCCTGACAGCATCTGCTAGGGGTTACCATGATATTGTGGAATGCTTGGCAGAACATGGGGCTGACCTTGATGCAACAGACAAGGTTAGTTTGAGTTGCTTTTGGTCAGGAATTACATCCAGAGATCACAGGTGTCACAGAGCCATATCTCTGAACTGCTTCATTTGAATGCTGCAAGCCAGCATTGTTTCCATGACGTGGGTTTTCTGAGCAGCTCACACAGAGACTATTGATGACTGCAGTAGTCTTTAAAGTTGCCCACTGATTATTTTTCCACGATTTGGTTTTTGCTGATTCATTATCACCTTATTAATTATCACCTTATGTGTAACAGTCTATGAAAAATGGCAGAAACATTGGGTTCTGTAATTGGCAACAAGCTATTCAGTTAACAGAAAAAAGATGGATTTATCCAACTATGGGTTGGATAAATCACACCTATTTCCAAAAAGATAAATTCCGACAATTTAAAAATATAACTCTATTTGATTGAGAATCGGGTTTTGCCTTTCATGGTATAATCCCAACATATAACTTTTGCATTTCATTGCCTGTAGTTTTGGTATGCTTGTCCTTTTAGCTGCCATCCATTAGTAAAGCATCCATTGATGATGCTTTAATAACTATTTAGTAACTGAGTTCAGAAAAATGCTTTTGCCTTTAAAAGAATTAAATTGTTTTTTCCAGTCGCATTGTCTCTTTAAGTTGTTCCACAGAGAGGGAAAGCTCTGTCTCTAAAGTTACTCATCGCTATGCAGGCTGCATGACTTTTGCATCACTAACTTCTGTCAGTAAACACTAGAGTGGTTTACAATATGCAGCTGGTTGTTACAGTTGGTCATTCTCCCACCTCCTAGGGAAGTCGTCAGTAGAGAATGTGTATTTGCATTTCATGTGTTCCACTGGAAAGCCCAGTGGCTTAATAGAAATTTGCTTTCATCCCATAGCTGATTTGTTCTGACGGATACTGTGCATCTCCCTACCTCCACCTTCAAAACAAAAATAAAAAACATTGTGATTCTTGAGGCAAGGAGATGCACTCAGTTACATGAAATGATTGTGACTGCAAAATGCTTTGATTTTTAGCATTATTAAATCTCACTTACAAGCTGTCTTGTGATTTCAGGATGGTCATATAGCCCTACACCTTGCTGTGAGAAGATGTCAAATAGAAGTAGTTAAAACTCTCATCAGTCAAGGATGTTTTGTGGATTTCCAAGACAGACATGGCAACACTCCCCTGCATGTGGCCTGCAAAGATGGGAATGTTCCTATTGTGATGGCACTCTGTGAAGGAAGTTGTAATTTGGATGTCACTAATAAGGTAAATGGAATACGGGTACTGAACTACTTTGTTTAATAGCTTGCCTATTGCATTAGATGACCTTTTCCAGGTCTCTGATATGAAAAATGTTTTTCCTTTTATTTTTTATCTCTTAAAGTGGCCAAATGCAAAGCATTAAATGACTCGCCTTGCAAATTTACCTAAGTTTGTTTCAGTTGAATAGATGATAAAAGATCCATGAAGAAAGAGCCCAAGTGAATTATCACAGTGTATTTTGCCACTCAACTCCGATGTTGAAGTATATGCCAACCTTCTTCCCTAGCTGTATAGCTTTGTTTTGTGCAGATTACATCTAGGCACTGAAGAACAGATGAAGTGCATTGCTGCTGGCCTTGATTTGATGTGATTTAGTAACAGTAATTTATATAGAGAATTGAAGACGTACATTTTTATGAAAAATCTGCTTTGAATTCTCCAAATTACATTAAAAGATCTTCACTGTCATCTAACAAGGGATTTAACTCAACTGCAGATTCTATTCCCGGTTATAAAAATAAGTGTCATATTGGCTGGTTTATGTTTTTCTGCATTTAGTTGATTTATTAAAATAAATCCTAATCAAACATTTATCTTAGAATAGTTTTAATGTTCCTATTAAACAAATTGTCACTGGCAGGGTACAGGAAATCTCAGAATTAAAATGTTAAATCTGAAATTATTTTCGAAAGTTGAAGTCAGCAGTCTGAGTGAGGAATTTTAAATGTTGATTCCAGTGCATATCACTGGATTACTGCCAGCTGAAAATGTGAACTGTCCGTAATTGTTGTAAGCGCTTTCCAAAGAGAATGTTTAATAGCCTGTCCCTAAATTCTGAGATACTAGTGCCTTGTTTGCTTCTTCTGTTCAGCTAGTGCTGCAGTGTAATGGAATAACTGAATGTGATGCTTTACAGGTTTAAGATCTGGCTTTCCTCCTAGAGATCTTTTCTCGTAAAGTAAGCTGTTTCAGGAAACTTTTTCTTTGGTTAGTTTAAATAGGTTAAGGTCAGCCATTGGACTCTGCTGCCAGACTGTGGGGCTTAGGGCTTGGTATTTAACTCTGAACGTCTTTCTCTGCCCTATTTAATTTTTATACGCTACAAAGTTTAAAAGTTATTCATATGAGTCTTTATGTTGGTATCTGCAATTTGTTTGATTCAGGTATTGTAGCTTCTTTGTTTTTCTGGAAAAGTACATATTCTGGCGATAACATTTTGCTAGTTAACTACCGTTTACTACCGAAGCACTGACCTTCTCTGTATTAGCCAGCTAAAAAAAGTTATGGGCCTTTTGGCCTGGATTGTCCAGTACAGTCACTTTTGGTTTTAATAATTAAAATCATCAGCTGCCAAGTGAAAAAACTTACAGTAATGAGCTCCCCAGTCCTGCCTCTGAGCTTAAACCTGATTGACTGGGCAATTAAATCCAGATCCACAGCTGAGAACACATTTTGGGGAAGGTGAGTTAATGCAGCACAAGGCTGGATTAGCACCTCTTTTCATAATGGAGAATGCTGAGCTGGCATCAGTGGCCTGGCTGCGAGCACGCTGTGGGAAAAATAATCAGTCTTCAACTGTTCAGTGGGGGTGGGATCATGGCTACAGAAGCTGTGGTTAAAGTTTGTGTCCTGTTATTCTTTTAGGAGTCATGTATACTAGCGTGATTTTTAGAGTGCTCTTTATTTGAAAGGGTGGGTTTGGGACTTACCAACTAGCAAACTTTTGTTTCTACTGGTCTTCTTCAGTAGGGAGCCCTGTAATGGGAGTGCACTAGCCTAACAACCATTTATCCTTGGTCCTCACATCTGGCATTGTCCCACATGTATGTAATACCGATTGAAGGCACTGTTTGTTTTTTCCACAGACTATGTGCAGTAGAACGTCTCACATGTTTATTTAAAATCATAGAATCACAGAATCGTTTAGGTTGGAAAAGACCTTTAAGATTGAGTCCAATCGTTAGCCTAACGCTGTCAAGTCCACCCCTAAACCTTGTCTCTTGAGTGCCACATCTATACATCTTTTAAATACCCCCAGGGATGGGGACTCAACCACTTCCCTGGGCAGCCTTTTCCAGTGCTTGACAACCCTTTCAGTGAAGAAGTTTTTTGTAATATCCAACCTAAACCTCCCCTGGTGCAGCTTGAGGCCATTTCCTCTCGTCCTGTCGCTTGTTACTTGGGAGAAGAGACCGACTCCCAGGTTGGGGGGTACAGAGTGATAAGGTCTCCCCTCAGCCTCCTTTTCTCCAGGCTAAACAACCCCAGTTCCCTCAGCTGTTCCTCATAAGACTTGTGCTCTAGACCCTTCACCAGCTTTGTTGCCCTTCTTTGGACACGCTCAGCACCTCGATGTCCTTCTTGTAGTGAGGGGCTAGAGGCCCAAAACTGAACACAGTATTCGAGGTACAGCGTCACCAGTGCTGAGTACAGGGGGACGATCACTTCTCTAGTGCTGCTGGCCACACTTTTCCTGATACAAGCCAGGATGCTGTTTGAGTTGAGGTATAGGGTTTTAAGGAGCCGGGTGTCTTTTCAGGTTCCAGTTGTCAGAAAGTTAGCTTTGCTTTCAAATACTCTTTCATGAAGGAATTTTGTGAGTTTGTTTCTGAAGGTAGGGTTGAAACAGGGAGAACAGTATTGAAAGCATGAAAATATGTGAAGTAATAGTAAGAGGAGTTAGAAGCAGAGAATACGTGGTAGGGATATTTATAACAGTACCTCTGAACATGAAAGACCAGAAGTGGATGTCATGAGGACCTGTTGTCAGTGGAGAGATTGAGGGGGAAATGCAAAAATTGGGGAAGCAAAACTTACAGCACTTTGTCACTGAAAGCAGAAATTCCTTCAAGCTGACTTCTTGCATTCATCCCTTTTATTCCTTTGGGTGGAATGGGGGAGACTGCAGATATGTAATCTCCAGTAATACCTGGATTTAAATGGAATCCAGAGCTTTAAAGGTTAAGGACTTAGTGTTGCTTAACTGGTTCATATTTAATTAAGGAAAATGCAATTAAATTTACTGGGAATTAGAAAGACATTCTCAAATACAGCCAAAAAACTCTAAAGGTTTCCCCCACAGTTGTGGGGGATTTAGCTATAAAATTGTTTCCCATTTTTTAAGTAGTCAGTCTAGCTTTTGTTTTTAATTGAGCTTTAAGCAGCTGTGCTTAAGCTGTAATCAAAGTACTTTTTCTTACAGTATTTGCAAGACCTTTGCTGCGTATCAGTAATTGTACAATATGTTTTATTATTAGTCATAGAATTTGGAGTGAAGTTCTTTGACTAACATAATGACGCTCTTTTCCCCATGTTAGTATGGAAGAACACCTTTACATCTGGCAGCAAACAATGGCATTCTTGATGTTGTCCGGTTCCTGTGTCTTACTGGTGCCAATGTAGAAGCTTTAACCTCTGTAAGTATTGAGAGATACTGTTATGCTTCTTGCTTCTTTTATGTACGATAGTATGAAACAAATTAATCTCTCGGGGTAAGGGGGAGGGGTCGGAAAGGACAATGGTCTAATATAATTACATTTTGAAATTAAAAAAAAAAAAGTTAGGTTGTTGTAACACCACAGCTTGAAAAGCATTCTCTGTTGTCCACTTACTCCCTTCTTACAACTGAATTTGAAACTGATTAAGGTACAGTACAGCTATCACTTCTTCTACACCTAAGAATTTCTTCACCTAAGAATTACTTGTAGCCTTGTGTTTTCTGTAAGCACAGTGGGCCACTGTCATTAAGATGTACATCATTTCACATCACATACAGTTACCATACAAATCTATATTTCAATTTTTTCAATTTCAATATTTTTCTTGCTTTCAGGGGATTAAAAAGTTTTATTTTCATGGTGAGAGATGTGTGGATGCATGGATGAGTGAACTAGCATGCAACCAGCCTTGTAAAACAAATCATTTATGTCAGATCAGTCAGCACCACTGCTTTCAATTAGCACCACTGAAGGTATTTTTCATTCTCACTAAGGTGAGAAATGTCCTCCTAGCTGACATATCCACACCAGGAATGAAGTGTCCTTCATCATGCACACCTCATATGCATGTGATACATTATAGACATCATACACACCATTACCTGTGTTTTGAACAAACAATGTTTTATTTTCAGACACATTGGATCAGTTTACGTTGCTACTCACCCTGACCAATGCATTCTGCTCAGAAGTAACTACCACCCTGTTTACTGAAATCATTTTGTGATTAGATTTTAGCTGAGTCCATGTTTTTCAAAGTTCTTCTCCTTATGAAGTATCCCTGAGATGGCTGAAATGGAGGGGAAAAGGAGAAAACTTCTGTTCATTTGCTTTACCCATTTGGTAGAAAATACAACTGTTTTTGTTCTTTTCATGTACATTTAGCAATGAGTTTTATTTCTCTAAGCATGTAACTCAAGTGGCAGGAGGAAGCCTTCAAAAAGCAGTCATTAAAACCAATGAACTTGGAATTGTAGCTTAAACAAGTTTAGCATCTAAAATGACTTTTTGATAACTACTAGATTGTAGATTACCATGTCCCCTATTAATCAATAATAATGAAATGTGCACGCAGTGGACTTTGTGGGGTGTTTTTTCCTTCATCACCTGTTTTTGTCCCTTATTTTTCCTTTTTTTTTTTTTTTTGGTATGTCCCATTGTGTATCTGTATTTTCACTACTACACACTGTAGAGACAGAACAAAAAGGTGATGGGGGAGTTCTTAAGCTGTATCACTTCATTTCTGTCATGACAGCTGTGTTCGTATAATTGCCTGTGTGGACTCTGTCCTTCCAAGATAGTTTAAATCAGTTTGAAGGCGATAACAAAGTAAATTGTGCTGATCCTAAATCTGGCAGAAGAGGCAGACTGAATATACATAACTATCCATTATTCCAGCAGTGTTGTGGCAGAGAGAAGGGAAAAGGAGGAGAGAAAGGGAGGAACTGCACGTGGTGATTTTAATAGCATTTCAGTTTTGCATTAGTTTGCTAGGTGGATGTTAGACTGTTCTGAAAAGTCTTACTAACAGCTCTTTCTGAGCCAGTGCAGTAGAATTAATTACCTTTTTCTTCCCTCAGAATGCCATTTCTGAGGAGCGTGATCTTGAACTTTGTTCTGTTAATATCTTTTACATGGAAGCAAATGCTTTTTCCATGTGTTGTCTCAATCAACAAATGGAGCTTCCAGATCTGAGCCTAAATTTTCAGCAGATATGTGAACTGAACTGCTAGCATCTGTCAATGTAAACATCTCAAAATGCTTTTTTGGGGTAAATTTGACATAGAGTTCTTCCTACTGTACTTGGTGCTTGTTGCCAGTGCTCTGGGGTGTCCTTCACCTACTCCACAGTCCTTTCTGGCTGTTGTGTTTACTGTGTGGTCTGATGACCATGGACTTCAAAAATGATGCTTGTCTGGTAATGCCCTTGCTAAGGCATTGCTCCATAAGGAAAGGTGAGCTAGGAGCCAAGAGTAAACAACAAGGCAAGCAGGGACAGTGTCCTCACTAACAAGGGCCCAGTCCCACAGTACCCAAGCAAGGCAAGCAGAGCAGGTCCAGTGATAGCAACCAGCTTCAGCCAAGAGTCCTGGTTGCCAGAAAGACTGTAACAATGACGCAGCTCTGAGGTTAAGTCAAGGTCAGGAATTGGGCTCCATGACCATGGTCAGCCAAAGTGATGGCTAGTCCATAGTGAAGAGACAGGTTCAAGGTCAAACCTGGAAGTCAGTGGCCGGGTCAGCGGGATAGACGGCTACACGCAGGCATATGGCTGTAGTGTTGCTCAGGTGAGGACCAAGGGCAAAAAGCTCAGCCCAAGAGCAATGCCTGAACAAAAGGTAGCACGAAAGCCCCTGACGGGGCTGCTTTTCAGGCCTTCTTCCTTCACAGCAGTCTGAACCAAGATTAGACAGCTGTGTCAGACAGCTGGTCTTGAGCTCAGGAACCAGTTAGGAAGCGGGCAGGGAACTCTGGGTCATGACAGTGCCATCCCACTGTTACAGCTAGGCTTGCTCTGTGCACATGTCTGCTTAGACTTTTAGCAATTTGAACCATTCTGTTGCTATTTTTCCAGTTTTGGGAGCAGTCACTTCCATCCCATTATAACCATGCTCACCGATCAGGCTCTGGCTGAGCCACTGCCATCCACACCTCGTGCCAAATACTCGCCAGATGGTTATTTCCTTTGTGTGTGTGCTCTAACAGCTCTGACTGAGCTCAGCAAAGGATATATCAGAGTACAGCTGTTTAGCCAAAGCCAGGCTTGGAGCCAGAACAAACCCCCATGGACCAATGAGACACAGCAAGCAAGGGTGTCAGGTTAGCCAAGCCATGCCACAGCAGTTGTGGCATATCCCCTGAGAGGTGTGGGACCTGCTCTGATTCAAAGGGGCAATGCCCATGCAGGGATCTGTCACTGCATATATGTGCTCGGTGCTGGAGTTTGCCAGGCCGTGTCCAGCCTTATGTTGCAACAGGAACATACTGCGCTCTGGAAGAGTGCAGGGCAAGGCTGTAGCAATCCTGCTCCGGACTTAAGAGGGGGCCAAAGATTTGGCGATCCAGATAAAATTCAGTCTTTAGGTTGATGAAGGCTGCATCCTGTTACCACAGGGATTCTCAGGAAAAGGGGATCAAGGTTTCCTCTTTATTTGAAGGTTTTTGATTCCCCTGGATGTGCCCAAGACTGAAAACTCAGGAAGCAGTAGAAGTATTGAAGCAGTTCTCCTGATGGCAGGCTAGCTGCCCAGCCACTGGACCACTCTTCCTCTCATACAGCAGGCACTCGGGATTAACTGGGATTGGGAGGGTAGGGTCAGCACAGACAAAGAGATTCTTCCCCGTTGATATATCTTCTCTAAGGAAAATTAATTTTAAAAAATACATTCAGACGTTTCTTTACTAAAGTTGCAATTACATGTCAACTATGGAACGAATTTAAGGGTAAAGTATCGGTTCAAATTTAGTCAGTTCATGCCATCAACTACAATTTTGGCTGTTTCTTGCTAATGTTCTGTTCCTGTTCTGTCTGAATTATCTGAAGTTCTGCAGTACATAGTAACTTTTATGCAAACCTGAAAATGGCATCTCTAGGTGGACACTCAGTTGTCAAAGATATTTATTTCATATGTAGGGATAATAATTACAGTAACCTCAAGAACTACTTAAGACAATGCAGGTTTCACATGAAAAACTGGTAAAATCAAAGATAGAAACCCAAGAAAGAGATCTTAGTTTTCCAGTACTACTTCTTAATAATTGAAAGCTCTTATCTGAGAGAGTGAAAGAAGCAAAGTGCTCATAAATTAGTCACCTCTTACCAAAATTTAAACCAACGCAATAGCATTAATATAGTTGTAAGAGTGAAAGTAGTGAGCAATTTTTCTTTCAGCCTATATAATATTAAACTGCTGACCTGTGGAACATGGGTAATTAAATGGGAAGACTAGAATGCTGAAGGCAGCTTTGCTTCTCCTTTTAAATTTGCTGATGCATTTTAATCCACATCCCTTACAATTTTCTTGCTTTCTGGAAACCTCCAGTGACTGATATGCCACTGTCATTCTTTATTCATTCATAAACAAAATTTACCTGCTATTCATGTGAGTGAATATGCTGATGTGTCCCCTCTTTGTGAACTGTTTAAAATTTTAGGTCTGTTCAGTATGTAATATGTAGAAATTGCAGTCATCCTCTAATTGGTGAGAAGAGAAGAGGAATTCAGACAGGGAGTATTGGCATCGCTCTCAGGCTCTGAATGCAAAGTATCCTGTTACAGTGGCATCCAGATGCCAATTTATAAAAGAAGTGCCACTGTTCTGCATTGTACCATATTTTTTTTGACAATTTAAAAAATAGAGATTCTGGTGGGGGGTGATTGTTACTGGTTGGTTTTGTTTGGTTTTCGTTTCTTCTCCCTATCTCATTTGCATCTGACAGCAATTCTCTTACTGCCTTGAGCAGCTGAGCTATGTTGCATGTGATCTTTTTATTGTGGGCAAAAGGAAGGAATTGCTGCTGATAATTTGTGTTTTAACAGGATGGGAAAACAGCAGAAGATCTCGCCAGAGCAGAGCAGCATGACCATGTAGCCAGTCTGCTTGCAAGACTTAAAAAGGTTGGGAATGTATGAATTTTAACTCAGTTTTTCATGTTTTTAAGATACCAAGAAAAGTTTGGCCATGGGAAATCATACGATAAGATATTCATCAGAGCCATTCTAAAAATCTGTTGCAAAAATCCTTACTGGAATGGTGTCTTTTGTTTTTTTTCCTTCCCCTCTTCATTTTTAATTTGAAATGGTGCCCTCAGTTAAAGCTAGTATGTACATATTAAGAAAAATGGCTAAGCTAATCTGCACCACTGATGTATATTATCCTGTCTCTGACAGTGCCTAGCAAAGCATTTAAGGTGTTTAGAAGAAACTGGAAAATAAACTATTAAGAATTAGCACATCCCACAAGAGCACTTACTTCCTCACCATCGCCATTTTAGTTAGATTAGTGTTATGAAGTATGAGGCGTTTGTGCCTCTTCTGGAAACTCTAATACCGTGTGGAATTGTTGCATAAGTTCTCAGTGACATTTTTTAATTCTGCAATTTCGGTATCTCCAAATCTCCTGACAACTAGAACACAAAGCTGATCTGGGCTTGTTGTATGGCAGGAAGTCTGACACATCTGATACGCATTGATTATTCTGGACAGGCAGCATCACTCATGTCGTGAAGGTTCAGGGACCACTTGCCTGGTGATTCAAGGCAACAGCCAGACCAGTTAAACCAGTTCTGTTTTAAACATGCTGTTGAGTCTGCGAAAAACTGAAATAAAAGACCATTTCAGAGTAGCAATAGAATATGGTGTGTACCAGGCGTCGCCAAGGTGGAAGTAGAATCATGTCCTTTAGTCCTGCCATTAAATCTGTCTTTGCTAGGATTGTAAAGTATCAGTGAAGATGTCAGAAAGTGCCAAAGTTCAGGCTTCTTTTGCAATGATAGCTTTTGTAAATGTTTGTCATAACAGGATCCATTTTGCATAGTTGCATTCCCACACTGAACCCTTGCCTGTTTCTGCATGCAGGTGGATAAATTTGCCTTTTAGTCATGATGTAAATATGGAACTAATACGAATTGACCTAGAACAAAAGGGAGATCAGATAAATCTCTTCTGAAACAGTCATTAGTAGCTGTAACTCTCTTCTTTATAGCAAAGTATACTTAATTATTGAAGGCCTGCCGATATATATGGGGAAAATGTGTGATAATTACATACTTCATCAGAGTATACTTTGCAACAGAGAATTTGATCAACTGAAGTTAATAAACTACATTAAACTACTGAAAATGTTCAAGTACTACTCAAAAAGGTCAATATCATCTACTAGAGAGTGTACCTGACACTTGTTTTGTTTTCAGTGCCTGTGGAGGCTTTTGTCCCTAATAGCACACACATGAAGAACCTACCGTCATAGTGGCTCTTGCAGAGGGTTCAGTATTAGCCATGAAGGGGTGCAGTATTTGCATTGTGACTAACTTATTTAATAAATGCCTGTTAGCAAGGAAGGAACTAAATTATATGCACTACTATTTCTGTCAAATTTCTCAGCTTAATTGCTGCATGCTTATAATTTTGGGGGGCTGTAGGTGCTCATTTAATGACTCATTCTGCATGTTAAACGCAGTACATATGCAGAAAAACAGAGCTGCTCTCTCAGCTTCAGATGGGGAAATGAAGGAAAGGAGGCTGAAGCTAGTTCCATTGCCCTTCCACGTTTCTGCTACTCCCCGTTTCCCTAAAACAGGTCTTTCTGTGGTGAGAGACACTGATAGTTTGCTGACCTGCACTGCATCCCCTTGTTGAGTTGATTTTTCAGTCTCAGCTTGTGTGGGAAGTAGAGCATCCATGTCTGATTGGTTCTTGCTGGGCAAAGAGAAAAGGCAGATTTGATTTGTTCATTCCCAACTCTGTCTTCGGCAGGAACAGAAGGAGTATCCTTCAGATACTACAAGACAAGATACAATTGGGTAATGGGGGAGCTCAAAGTGGAAAGCTCTTCTGTAGGAGATGTGATTGGGTTTGAGGAAGGCCTGCGTAGGAGGATGAGATTGCAGCTGTGGAAGAGACAGTGAATGCACACAGAGGGCAAACTGTGAGAGGAGAATTAAGTAGGGAGGCAGCTCTATTGAGGCTGGGAGTAAAGAGGGAGACCAGTCTGGAGGATGTACGCTTGCAGTAGAGAGGTAGAAAAATGGAAGGTGAATAGTATGCGAGCATCTTTTAAGGTAAAGAAGAATAAGAAGTGTGTGGGGAAAGGAGAGATGAGTGGTGTGGGAAAAGCAATATTTACCTTGCAAAGAACTGAAGTGGAAATAAACAGAGAACTGGGTGGGGGGAGGAGGGAGCAGGAAGAAGAGAATTCTCTCAAATAGGACAAGTACAGAAAAAGTTGATGTAAAGAAGAGGAGAAATGCACATCGAGTTTTTGGATTGCTCAGGTGGTAGCTGTCACTGTAAAATTTTTCAATGCTGCATGTATATTATATAAGATTATGGATATGCATTATGCTACTGAGACTGACAGGTAAGGAGAATGGGTGCTGAGAGAGGCTAGTTTTTCGTCCTTTGCCCTCTCCATCAGAGGTCAAAATTATTGCCTTCACTGATGTTGAGCCTGAATTCATCTGTGATTTTCATGAAGACTCAAGGTGGCTGTTGAGAGCAGGCAGTCAGCTGTGGCTTGTCTACCTGTCCCTGCCCTTCTGCCAGTAACTGATCACTTGCATGATGAAGCAGATGGAGGAACTGATCCAGATGAACATCAACCTGGCAAGGAAGCATTACCTAAACCCTGTGTTTTGAGTTTGTTGGGAGGCAGTAGCTCCGTGCCACATGTCCTGATTTCTTCTTTATGTTGAATTTTAGGATACGCACCGGGGGCTTTTTATCCAGCAGCTGCGGCACACACAGAATCCGCAGGCCCGGATCAAACTGAAGCTGTTTGGACACTCTGGTGCTGGGAAAACAACCCTCGTGGAGTCTCTCAAGTGTGGCCTGTTACGAAGCTTTTTCCGAAGACGTAGGCCTAGGCTCTCCTCCACAAATTCAACCAGATTCCCCCCATCTCCTTTGTCTTCCAAACCTTCAGGTATGGCTTCAAAGATGTAACATTTGAATGAGAAAACATTTTCCTGTGTAGCTCCTAAGGAAGAACGGTTGGCTGCACTGCAAAAGACAGGACAGGCCAAGCATGTAAGAAACCAAAGTAAACCGGAGAGAGTATTGACTTCTCTGTGTGCAGGCTCGTACCTAAAGTAAGAGCGAAGAGGAGCAGTGGGTGTGGAGGCTGTAGGAGTAGATAAGGTTTTGTTTACTCACACACTGCATAAGTGAACTTGGAGAGTGGAGGACAGGCCTTCTGAACACCTGATGTTTATTTTTCACAAGAAGTCCTAGGCTACAAATGCCAGTGTTGTGACCAGATTCCAGTGTCGTGACCAGATTCCACTGTCGTGGTTTTGGGGATCATGTTTTGTCAGCCTTTTTGTTTGAGTAGCTTCAATAAGCACTGTGCAAAATTGAAACGGTTGCTGCATCTTTATATGATCTTTAAGTAATAATAGAGGATTCAGAACTGCCTCTGATGCTTTGGAGTGCTTTTCCGTACGGTACAGGAGTGGATTAACCCCGTTAGAGGTGTCTAAAATTGTCTACAAACAAGGTGAAAATGGAGATTTTCTAAACTGAAGTAAATGTGTGCCAATAATAGGGCAACTTTGCCCATGTAGCACCAGTTGGCTTGTGTGAAGTGGGAAGAGCTGCAGGATGTGGAGGAACTAGCTAGGTTTATACTTCAACATGTGCCCAGTTTTGGAAGAACCCACAGTTGTGGCAGAAGGACAGTGGGCAGAGTAGTAAACTGTTTGTCCAGGTCTCTTTTGTAACACTGAGAGGCTGTGCAATGTGTACAAGCTAAGCAGGCACTTTGAGGAGCTCAAGTTTAAATTGATGTTTAGAAGTAGTCTTACCACGTAAGTTTTAAATGGGGTCAGGGTTGCCTTTTTCTTTAAAAACCTTTAGATGATACTTGCAGGTTTAGGTTTTATTCATCATTTTTAAGTAATGTTAGAACAGGGCTAGTAGTAGATTTCATCTCTACTTTTTCTCTAGTCACCTGAGGAAGCTATAAGGTACTCACAGAGCAGCTTTAACACGACAAGATAGCTGGCACAGAGATTGTTATTGCATTTGCTGTTTACTTAACACAAGGGGCTCACGTCTGTGACAACAGAATAAAGAAATTGCTTAAATGAATCAATCAGAAGTTCTTGATTTATTTATCTCAATTTACTGTGTCATACAAGGGGAGATAAGTCACTCAAGGAATATCAGTTCCTGGAGGCAGTGCAGGAAGGTTTTGACTGAAGACAGGTTTTTCTATATTGGTTGGTACCAGAACCAGAGGTTAGGTGTTGTGTGCTCACACCATCATAAAATCAGACAAGACTGCCAGTCACGTTGGCAAATCATTATAGAAATAATGGTGAATTTGAAGCATTCACTTGAAAATAGCTTACCTAGATGTAAAGCCAGAAAGTTGTGGAGTGCTATGCAGACTTGAAACATGCTGTTCTATGCAAGCAAAGCTACTATGGTGTTGTTTTAATGTTTGGGGTTTTGGGTTTTGCTTGTTTCACTACCTGGTCTTTTTGGATGAAAATCATTATATAACATGCAAATAATGTTATGGGTTGAGTGACATAACCAGATAAACATTTAAATCAGCACAGTTTGGGTTATACTTGATCATGTGCTTAGGCTTCTTTAAATTCTGTAAAAATAAGTGTGTGAATTCACCATGTATTTATTTACAAGAGCCTAAAGATGTAAATATTACACTAGAATATCAAACATGAAAGTATAGTTTTACAGCTGATAGGTAGTTTCTTTCTATATCAAACTCCAAATATTAGAATTCAGCATCTAGTGGAGGAAAGAAATCTTTACTTTCTCCACTAGATGGTGCAAGTCAGTTAAAAAGCCCTTTTGTTTCTCACTTGGGGAATCTGAATGAAGCATGAACTAAACAAATTGCTTATTAGTAAAATAATTTTGGTTAAGGGCCTGCTTTTCTCCCGCACCTCCCCAGAAACAGTTGTTACACAGTGATATCTTTTATCCTTACTTACAGGAATCAAGTATATGAATATGTAGCATTTCCATACCAATATGCAATGGACCATGCTATGAAATTGCAGCCTTTAGCTAAAAAAGCAGTATATCTTTGCAAGATAGAAGAACTTTAACTGTTGAAACCTTTAATTCCCAAATCATTCAGGTTTTTTTCTATGCTTCCAACCCAGCGGTATATCTGCTAAAGGGCAATAAGTGCTATATAAGATCATTCTAGTATTTACTTCTTCATCATTCAGAATAAAGGTGTAGTTGTGTATGCTTACAGCTTGGTAGTCATCTCCTTTCTTTGAAGAGCAGTTTGGTTTTTTTAATCAGCTTCTATGCCTTGCATACTTATTTTGAAGTGATCTGTTTGTGATTTTCACATGGTTTGTAATCTCATTTTCCTTTCCCTGACCCAGTTTCAGTAAGCATTACGAATCTTTATCCTGGTTGTGAGAATGTCAGTGTGAGAAGCCGTAGCATGATGTTTGAGCCGGGCCTGACCAAAGGGGTATTAGAAGCTTTCGTTTCACCTGCTCATCACTCTCACTTCTCTGCTGATGACCAGTCCACTAAGGCCATTGACATTCAAAATGCCTGCTTGCATGGTAAGCAAAGCCCTGGGCTGGCATGCCTTAATGATGTGGGATGGTTAATGCTGTGTTGCTTGTGTTTAAAAACAAAAAGGGAAAAAACAATTTGACGTAGTATGGTAGTGACTGTGGTTGAGAATCGAACACTGGTGGAGTTTGGTTTGTTTAAGCAGACAGTAAATCTGCATGAAGTTCCCTACCTGTAATACACTTAGTAATCACATGTGTCAGATCCTTATAGTGTCATGTAGAAATGTTTTTGAGATGAATAAGTGGGGCAGGAGGAAGGAGGGATTTGGTATATGAGGAGTGAGTTGGCAGACTGGCTACTAGTGTGAAGGCTCCTTCACCTGTACTCTGTGTTGTTTGGGGATTTTATCAGATTTGACGTGGTCCGATAGACCCAAGTGTCCTCACCATCTAGGTAGTTCCCAGCTGTATGAAGAACCTACCATTTTCACCCCATAACAGGACCGGAGCATGTTTGGTGAGTCCTGCAGCTCACCAAACATGGTGAGCAGAGCTTCTGATTTCTTTTTTTTTTTTTTTTTTGAAAGGAAGCTAACTGCTCTGCAACTGAAACCAGTTAGCAGTAACAGGGGTTAGTCAGAGAAGATGTTGTAAGTACATATATGGCTTTTGACTGTGAGGACCATATAAATGGTGCATATACACCACCAGCCATACTAATCGTTATATAGGTGGTAAGATCTCTCCCAGTAGGATCCCTTCTTAATAAGGAAAATGTTTTGCACTCCTTAGCAGCTGCAATTTTGAGGCTGAGTTAGGATTAATCAAGATTTTATTTTGGAGGGAGAAACCTATTTATGGATGCAGTATATGCACACTAACACATGCAGTGACAAAACGTTTGTCCTAGATGCTGAAGAGTTTGGCATGTAGCTAAAGCTTGTTCTTTGTCCAGGCTAATTTCCTCTTTCAGTGTAATTTGAAACCAAGTCAAATTCTGCAGTGAAATAGTTGTGCAACACTGTCAGACAGGGTTTCTTTTCTTTCTCTGTGCTGTCTTGATATAGAAGAAAAGTGTGCACATGGGCGAACTCTGAATAGCTGGACTCATAACAGCAGATTTGAGGTTTCTGGCTTCTTCTAGAAGTTCGAGGTGCATCTTAATCAGCATTTATTTAAATAAAGGTAGTACAAATGCGGCAGACTGCACCCTAATCGGATGGTGAGTCTGGGACGTGCCATACAGTGCAACACGCTAATACTTTTCTCACCTGAAGCTAAAGGAGATAGCAGAAAGAAGCACGGTGCTGCTGGGATCCTTAACACGGTGATTCTTCAGTCCTGACTTAACAACGTGATGTGAATAGTACAATTCTGTAAAGCAAAGTGGCTTCTTTGAGAATGGCCTTCAGCTGTTTTTAATACCAGCAGTGGCACATTAAGAAGAAAAATTAATTAAAATGTTGAGTTTTTTGGGGTGAGCAGGAAAAGAATGGGAGCCGTTATTCTTCTTTTTCAAAGGAGTTACAAGATCCCTTGCTGTTGTGCAAGGCAAAGGCCAATTTAATGTGTAAGGCTGCATGTGTTTAACACACAGGTGCTTCCACGTGGCACCCAGCTGAATGTCCTAGAGAAGTGAATGTGAGAGAGGAACAGATTGTGAGGACCCAACTTCTCAGCCTCTGAGACTGACTGAAACCCCTTCCCTTTGTTCATGATTGCATTTGCAGTCATGCTTTCTCATGTGCATACGGTTTATCTTTGTGAAAGTTTAAATCAGATTAACTCTTTTGTTTCTCTTTCCATGGCTGAAAGATGCTTTGTGCTTACTGATGAAGTGTGATCTCTTCATCTGTTTGTCTGTTTTTCAGGAGTTGGTGATTTCAGCATCTGGGAATTCTCTGGGAATCCTGTGTATTTCTGCTGTTACGATTATTTTGCTGCAAATGATCCCACTGCAATTCACATAGTGCTTTTTAGTCTCGAGGAGCCTTATGAAATCCAGCTAAACCAAGTGACCTTTTGGCTCAGTTTCCTGAAATCATTAGTCCCAGTTGAGGAGCCAATAGGTATACTCTTCTACCTGTTAATGAAATATTAGGGGACTATAAGATAAAGCTTCTTGTGTTTCTCTGCAATTTCGTACATCCTCTGTGTTGAGTGTGGTTATGTGTCTTCATCCCCATATATTCAAACTTTACACAAGGTTTCTTAGAGAAAGGGAGTTTTATCTGTGTAACAAGTGTGAAGAGTTGTACACGCCACTTAGTCCAAATAAAAAGGGTCATGAGGTACAGTGCAGCCTCCTGTGGCACTGGGATTTACATCTGTAAATGGCAGATGAAGTTTTATGTCAGATAAGCTGCATGGAAAAGTGTTTCAGAGGGTTGGAACCATTTAAAACCAGTTTTAGATGCATTGCTTAAATTCCACTTACATCTAACCCTAATTAACAGTGTTTCCAGCATAAATTGGTCTTGTCAGCAAGAACAGGACAGAGCGACATTGTGGAGTGGCGTTACCTCTCAGTACATGCCACTTTAACGTGTTTAACTAGGGTTATACTTGGGCTTCAAATACATTAATCTTTGCATCAGGGTATAGAGAAACCAGTACTTCTAGTAAATTTCACATATTCTCAGACTTTGCACAGGTTTTAAGTAAGCTTACTTGTTTTATATTCAGGCTTTCTAATAAACTGAAAGTTACTTGGCAGGCAAACAAATTAACTTTTTTTTTTCCTTAAAGGGTCTGTAGGTCTAGGTGTATATACCATATAACTTGTTCATGTTTGTACCTGACCATTGGTGTGCAGACTGTGACAGTTTCATGGAAAAACCAAGCTCTGACATGTATCTTGGTTCCGTGAACTGAAATGTTATTCCAGCCAGTGGCTGTAACTCAGCACTCATGGGCATTTATAAGACTGCTAGGGACTCACCGGACAAGCATATCAAATACTTACATAGTGCACAGAGTATCTCCCCCTCGTTTTGTTTTCTGCGTGATTCTGTATGCATTATCTCAGCCAGATAATGATAATGATGAACCAAGGCAGACCTTCAGTTTTTGGTTCAGGCATCTGCACATCTTTCATTTTCCATTTTAGGTCAAATCACAGGGTTAACAATAGGAGCATTTGGATCTAACCAATATGAAATTACTTCTGGAAGTAAAAGCTCAGAAATTTGCAGAAAAGCTGAAAATACAGTTAATTTGCAATTGCTGAAAGCTTTTCACAGCTCCTCAGTCTAGCAAGAAAACTTAGTTCTTGGTTTGACCAAGTTAGAATTTGAGTTAATCATTTCTTCTTGCTGATCTAATTATCAGCATTATTTAGATACTTTGCTTAAATCAGTGTTTATACTGGTCAGCTCAGTTTGGGTACTCATGCATTTTTGTACTCTTACAACTCTCTCAAGTAATATGTAGTAACTGATGTTAGTAGAAAGCTTAAGCTTTTGGAATTACTTGCCAGTTATTTTGTCTATTTTGTCTTAAGACCTTCAGCTGCCAAAAAAAAAAAAAAAAAAATTTTAAATTAAAAAAAATCACCCGCAGCTACCAAAAAAAAAAAAAAAAAAGATTTATAATTACATAATACTGACCTTGAAGTGCTATGCAGAGATTTGGGAAAATGTGGCTTTTTCTGCATGAATCAAGATTCTGGAGCTCTTAGTTGATGAAAACTGAGCAGTGATGTAAGCATATTTCTCCCATGTGAAGTTTTGTCAGACTAAAACAGCAGGATTGGATGTACTGTCTTCTTTTAAAAACAGTCTAATGATGTCTCTTCTTTTCTGGAAGATCAGTTTGAGAAAAGATTGAAAACTGTGTGTTCCATACTGTCACCTCATTCACGCCATTTGTATCTTTCTTTCTCATTCTTTTTCATGGTTTCTGCCAGGCTTTCCTACTTAACTCTCACCTAAGTGAGAGGTCATTGTTTGTGTAAGTACTGCAAAATAGCATTCATACCACCGTATGAATGTTGTAGACATTTTGTGTTCTACTTATAATCCTCTGCTCTGCACCTGTAGCATTAAGGACCATCCAAAGATTGTGAGAAACCCTTTCAAGAAGCTGTTATTTTTAATTATTTTTCCTCACGCTATTATAGTTTGTAGTTAATAAATATATCATTAGTGTTATTGATTAATGTTTTTATTAAAACAGTCATGTAGTATCAATGTGTATGATGTTATTCAAAGAGTCTATCTATTCAAATTGGACATTATATAGATAATCCTATAGGCAGATAAAAGCCAAAGCACCAGTGGCTTAAGCACCGTATGGCTATGCTTAGAGTTGGTAAATCCACTGCAAAAGTGACTGGTATGAAGAATGTAAAATGTATTGCTGCTTTCCCGGCTCAGTAAGACAGCCGTCTCCATAGGCATGTCTCATAGTGAGGGAGTGCTCTTGTTTCTCTTCTAGCATTTGGTGGAAAGCTGAAAAGTCCCCTGTGTGTTGTTTTGGTTGCCACACATGCTGACATAGTGAATCTTCCTCGGCCTGTTGCGGGAGAGTTTTGGTATGACAAAGACATGTCGTTGTTGAAAGAAATCAGGAACAGGTAAGTGGGGAGTGTATTTATATGTTGTGTTTAAACATGTCAGTTGGAAAGAAAAATACTAAAATGCATAGCAATATGTAAAAGGTTTTTACGTGGCTTAAGCTTTATGATATTATGATATTTTGAGTATGTTCAGGAAGCTTATATTGTGCAAAAACTGAAATATTTACCAATATTACAGTGAGTGAGCTGCCTTATGTGAGCTAAAATGAGCCAAGTGCTGCAAAAACGAGTTGAGGCTCAGGAAGTCTCACCCTGTAAACACTGGGATACATGCAAAGGCCTGTATCAGCCATCTGTCCAACATCTTGGTGCTCAGGTTTTACACCAGTCTCAGAAAAGTGGGCAGTTCTCAGCTACAAACTCTGAGTGCAAAAGAGGAACCTTTACAGGAGAGCCACCCTTTGCTCTGAACTGATTTAGGATGGGTAGGAAAAAAACTTAAACCAGGCCTGGAGGTACTCCATACATAGTTTGTGAAGAGCTGGACATTGTGGAGTCACACAGGTGACAAGGTCATCCAAGAGGTACCTAGAAGTTAGAGAAACTTCTAGCCTTCTTCAATAAATGGAACCATCCATTGCTGTGAGCACAGACCCTTGTCTGGACTGTACAAGAAATAGATGTAGGAATTCCAGCACAATAGTGGCAGGGCAATATCTTAATCAATTGAAATAAACCAACAGAAAATACCGGTGTGTAATCTTTGATGTTGGAATCCTTTTAAATGCAAATCAGCCCAGAGCTAGGAAAACAAGTATGTGTGGTTGAAGAGTCAAAAGGAAGTGAGAAAGAGAGCTGGTGTCAATAGCAATGACAACTGAACTATTTAAAGTGAGAAGAAAGAAAACAACCAATATGAAGACCTTAAAAAGAATTAATTCCTGCTATCCCTTCTCTAGTAAACTGTTTTTGTAATTACAAGTCCTGTGATGCAGCTGTAATTTTCTTACACATCTTCAGCCTTCTTCCTTAGGAAAGACAATAATTTTCTCTCAATATCTCTATTTATTGTCAAGAAAATTGGAGAGCAGCTATACTGTCTGTGCTTATAAAATATCTTAGCATAATCAGTACTTAAACTTTTTCATCATTCCTTGAAGAAAAATAACTCTTGTGTAATTTAAGACTGAAATACAACTGGATTAAGAAATAAAACTGGATCTGGGACTAAGTAAATAATTGCTCGCTTTTTCTCTTTCAGATTTGGAAATGATCTGCAAATTTCAGACAAGTTATTTGTCTTGGATGCTGGAGCATCTGGGTCTAAAGATATGAAGCTTCTCCGAAATCACTTGCAAGAAATAAGAAGCCAGATAATTTCTGTAAGTAATGTCTAATGGTCTAGGTTGGGCCAGCCAAAATGTGAAAATCTTGTGTAATAATTTACTGTAAATTTAGTACTTACATTATGAAACTTAAAGAAATCAGTGATGTTTCAATTTTTTAGCAGCATGCATGACAGACCTGGTGATAAACAAACTCCTGACATCAAAGATTCAGTCAGCATTTTCAAAATTGTAGGTGTTTTGTATAGGTCACCAAAATGATCTCTTGAAATTATTTGAGCATTTCAGTTCGAAGTTATAGTTTCATATTTTGAATTGACAGTGGTTGGATTCCAGCGTTGACCCTTCTTTTTTGTTTTGTTTTGTTTTGTTTTTAATCTTTTTTTTATCAGCATAGTATTACAGAGAAACAGAATGTATTTCAGGCAAATAAGTTTTTCATTAAAAAAAAAAAAACCACCAGAGTAGAACAGTTTCCTCAACCATTAGATAATTCCCAATATAGTTGTGTGAACTGAATATGAATTAACTTTTAACTACACTTTTTTACTGAAAGATATGTGCACGGAGTTGTATATATATGTGTAGGTATATGTATATGAGACTAAAGGTAAAATAGCCATGGTTTGATATCATCACCATGAATCCACAGAAACTTTCATGGTGAGGGTGACCAAGTCAAGTTGTTATGTAGCCTGTGCTAAATGGATGTAAATTTCTTCATACCAAAGGCCCTCTTACTTGTGTGACCCACCAACAAGAGTTTCTGCAGCTACTTGTGATAGGTATTTTTTTAAAAATGAATTAAAAGTGAATGTATTACTGAGTTCATTCTGTAGGTCAAGGCAAATGTTTGGTTTTGTGCAAAATTCAGCCTATTTTATATTCCCAATGGTCTCTTGATTTAATAAGCTTTTTTTCTCTGACAAAACTTTATTATAGCTATGGTCACTAGCTTGAAATCTGGAGGGCTTTGCTACATAAGAAGTGCGTGCTGTGGCTTGAAAGTGTAGGATGAAGGCATCAGTGATGTCCAAGACAAGCAACAGATAAAAGTACCATCTTTACTTCTTATCTGGTACTCTGCTGTCTCACCTGTTGAAGTAAATTGGTCCTGTACGGATATTGATGAATACAGATTTTAATTAAATGTTGACAACTTCTGAAATAAAGATTAACTTCTAGATGTATGAAGGCAGTTGATACATTTTGAAGTCACTGTTTCAGGTGGTCAGCACACTTGACAAGGCCAGACTATATAAACCAAACTTTGTTCCACGTGTCAGGATTCCCATTGTAATCATGGTGATGTTTGGAAAGTTTGCTTATTTTAGCAAAAAAATTGTTTCTGGAATTCATTTTATTAAGGAAAGTTAGATCTTATGGCAAGTGAATGCCGGATGGAAGAGTAAAGGTCCATCACAAGGGGAGCTCTTTAGATGCGAGTATACATCATGAATGCATTAGACCTTTAAAAACAAAAAATAGTATCGTTATTCTCAGCAGAGTAGAACTACAAATGGATGTTTTCTGTGCTTTTGTAAGACTTGCCCACCTATGACTCATCTGTGTGAAAAAATAATCTCCACACTGCCTTCATGGAGAAAAATGAATGGACCCAACCAGCTGATGTCCTTGCAGCAGTTTGTATACGATGTACAGGAACAGCTTAATCCCCTAGCAAGTGAAGAGGACCTACGGCATATTGCACAGCAGTTGCACAGCATAGGAGAAGTAAGTGTTTTTCTCTAAATTGCATATCTTTATTAGCAAGGTACTGCTCTGGTAGAATATTGTTTAATGGGATTTAAGCAAATGTCTGTAGTTTGTTGGGGTTTTTTTCCCCTCCTCCCTCTTAAGACATCGTAAGAAGTGGAAACTGCTTAATGATGCTTTTTGTTATCATTATTGTCTTGTGGCTCCTATTGCATTCAACGTTATTTCTTTGAGACACGAAGAATTACAGTTTATTGCTATAGTTGCAAGAATATAAAATACTCAGAAAGGGTAAGTATGCTATCATCTTAAATGAGGTAGTGCCTAATGTGTTCACTGCATATGAGAAATTTATGTTTATCGATTAGAAATTGTAGGATAACACCTTTGCATAAATAGCCTGCAGGGCATGGCTAGGCTTTACTGCTGTTGGGCTGTAATGGCTTTATTACCAGTGGAAATCAAGAATAAGATGCTCTTTGTTTTGAGTACTTGCAAGAAATTAAAATGCACTGTTTGTTTTTCTCCTGTCAGCAGTGTTAATTAAATGATTGGGTCTGTAAGTTAGGAAAGAGAGAAAGTGGGGTATCATCTTGTACTTCACAAGATGTAAATAGTAACTTTCATATTTATAAACAGATTAACATTATGCAGAGTGAAACTGTCCAAGACGTTGTGCTTCTGGATCCTCGCTGGCTCTGTTCAAATGTCCTTGGAAAAATCCTGTCTGTGGAGAACCCAAAAGCTCTCCATCACTATAGAGGTCGGTACACTATAGAGGACATCCAGCGTCTGGTGACAGACAGTGATGTGGAAGAACTGATACAGATTTTGGATGCCATGGATATTTGTGCAAGGGACCTTAGCAGTGGAGCAATGGTGGATATTCCTGCTCTCATAAAGACTGACAATCTCCACAGGTCTTGGACAGATGAGGAGGATGAGGTGCTGATTTATGGTGGTGTTAGAATCGTTCCTGTGGAACATCTTACCCCATTTCCTTGTGGAATTTTTCATAAAGTTCAGGTGAATCTCTGCAGGTGGATTCATCAGCAAAGCACAGAGGGAGATGCTGATATACGTCTGTGGGTAAACGGATCAAAGATTGTAAATCGTGGAGCTGAGCTTTTAGTGCTTCTGGTAAACCATGGTCAGGGTATAGAGGTTCAAGTTAGAGGACTGGAAACAGAGAAGATCAAGTGCTGTTTACTTCTGGATTCTGTATGCAGCACTATTGATAACTTAATGGCCACAACCTTACCAGGCCTTCTGACCGGGAAATACTACCTAAGTCCTCAGCAGCTGAGGGAACATCATGAACCAGTAATGGTCTACCAGCCTAGAGACTTTTTTCGTGCACAGAGTCAAAAGGAGACATCACTAACTAACACTATGGGGGGATATAAAGAGAGCTTTAGCAGTATACTGTGTTTTGGGTGTCTTGATGTCTACTCCCAGGGAAGCCTAGGAATGGATATTCATGTTTCTGATCTGAATCTACTTACCAGGAGAAAACTAAGTCGACTTTTGGATCCACCAGATCCTATGGGCAAAGATTGGTGCCTTCTGGCCATGAACCTGGGCCTCCCTGATCTTGTTGCAAAGTACAATACAAATAATGGAACACAAAATGACTTTGTCTCAAGCCCAGTCCATGCCCTTCTGCAGGAGTGGAGCAATGCTCCTGAGAGCACTGTAGGTATCCTGATGTCTAAGCTGAGGGAACTAGGTCGCAGAGATGCAGCAGACTTTTTACTGAAGGCATCTTCTGTATTCAAAATAAATTTAGATGCTAATGGTCAAGAGGCTTATGCTTCCAGTTGCAACAGTGGCACATCTTATAACTCGATTAGCTCTGTAGTGTCACGGTAAGAGCAGGTGTTTTGCATGGACATCTTTTCAAACTGCAAAAAGGATAAAAGATACAGTACAAGAGTTTCTGTGCATTTTCATTTATGAGGTTTTACATCAAAGGATCTTTATCCTTCTCCAGCACCACCTTTTTGTGCGTAAACTTTCTACTTCTAACTGTGAATTGTTGCTTTTTATCTATCAAAAAGGCCGATGTACTTCTGGTGTTTCAAAATTATTCCTGATACATAATGTGCTGCTTAATACTGCCATTTTAACTGGAAAGTCTTTAACTTTTGGATTATGTACTGCAACTGTTTTATAAAATACTTCGATTCTCCCCATAAAAGGTAAGGGCAGAGGAATAGCACATATTACCTGAAATGTGTATTTCTTACACCTATTTTTTTCCTTTTCATCATGTCCTCTGCTTAACATTTTTTTATATTTGTAAGGAGAGAAATCCACCATTTGTGGTCACTCTGACTGAATTTAAAACCACATTGTTTATAGCTGAAAAAGCGAGTGCCTTTTGCAGAAGGGAGGGTGCAGTTGATTTGAATGACCCTGCTGGAGTTACAAGAACATGCTACCTCTGTTTCACTTAAATTGTCTGCATGCTTATCATTGCAAGTGGTGCTTGCCTTTTAATTTTTCCTGCACTTCTGAGACATTGGTGATGACTCACGCAGAGCATTCTTGTGCCAGTACTATGGGTATAGACATGTGAAACCTAATCAACTTCAATTACAGTCAAATCATAATGTGAAAATCTCTTAAACTTGCCAATTATCATGCTTCATTATTTCCATGCACCTCAGGTAAAAGTTCATATCATTACGGAGTTCAAAAAACAGAAGTGTTGGATACTGCAGAATAATATTGTATAGCTGTCAGTTGTAATTTGTGTATAACAAAGGTTTTCTACTATTAGATCCTGCATTACTTCCTTCCTGTACTTGAAAACTTTGATGGGGATAAAAACAAAAAGGAAGCAAGGTTTCTTGCAGTGATAACTTTAAAATTGATATGAGGGAATATGACCCATTCTCTGTTCTAAAAAGCATGTAATTTTAATGGTGCGATGTGTGTTTGTTTATATATATTGTATGTACATATATTAATACTATTTTTTCCTTAATCTTACAATGTAGTAAAATTTTAAAGGATTTTTCTACAAATAAACTGTTGCTTGTTGCATCCTTGTCGTTCATATTCTGTAGCTGAAAGGGACCGAAACTTCTCTTTTCCTCACAGTCGCAATCCTGGAGAGGCAATGCCTGGCTTCAGAAGTTCTGGGAACCTCCTGTTTCACTTCAGCGGGGTTTCTCAGCACGCTGGAGGAATATTTGTTTACCTGTTTACTGCAGAGGTGGTCCCTCTGCAGCAGAGGGATTTGCATTCATTTTGACAAATGGCAAGCCAAAGCGGTTTGCTACATAGCTTTTCCTTTGTGTTTTTTTACAATGAAAAACAAAACAGCAGATGCGAGTCTGTCATCGGGAATCCTCCAGATTATGCTGTGTTGCCAAGGGGGGGGAGAACACTGTGTTAGAGCCTGTGCTGTGGTAATGGTCCTTTACATTAAGGATCCTCTCATCACACGAGGGGCTGTGCTGCTCTTGCTTGTTGAAGCTCTCGGCATCACTCGCCAATAGCTGCACAGTCTCTGTACAGCACTCTGCGCAGGCAGCGCTGCGCAATACCTCCTCCCTGTGTGTGCTGCGAAGGAATTAAACGGACTCTTCTTAAAATGCTAGTTGCCGTTTCCCGCTGCCTTTGTTGACATCTTTTATCCTTGCTTTATTAAATCCTTCCCTGGGCATCGCCGGGCTCCTTTGTTTAGTATTTTTTCAAAGTCCAGTCCTCAGTGAGAAGTACGGTTATAGCAGTCCTGCCCTGAGGTGTCTCTGCTCTGATATTCTGCCTCTGACGAACAGAGTTCAGCATCTCCCACCACTGCTTAAAGTTGCTCAGTGAAGAGCCCAACTTTCCGCAGCCCATATTTGCCTGTATCGCTTCATGCCCACCACCACGCTTCACCTTCCAGCTGTGGACATGTTCAGCACTTCTGTCAAATTCTGGTATGTGGAGGGCTTTCTCGTCTCATGAGACTTTCTGGTTTTCTAGCTGTTTTCTTTAGGCCTCTTCCTCAGGCATCAAACTTGGAGTTACCTTCACTGAGTCTGTGACTGCAGAAGAGTGGGACTTGGTCTCACAAGTCCTGTGAGAGCCGAGACGACTGTGAGATGCTTTCCCCCTGCAGGACTGTCAGTGGTGTCTGTTAGTTTGGGATGTAATTCACCACTGTACTCCTTGTGGTGGAGTGGCAAGATTTTGAGATACCAGGTGGCTCCTCCCCTGCCTGCCTCCCCAGGCGCTTTACATGTGCTCAACATGCATGGTCGACTTACCAACACTGATGCAGTGTTGGGGTTTTTGTTTTGTTTTTAACCTCCCAACAGCATGTTTCTGACAATTCTCTGCTTCCATTTACTGTAAAATGCAGCCCAGGGAGTATAAATTACTTAGCAGATCCTATGATGGATCTTTGAATGGCAGTAAGTCTATTGCTTAATTTACAGTTTTCACGGTTATAGGTTCAGGAAAGTGAATCACAGTCATAGGATAGCTTTGGATTGCTTTCCTATGAATCACGTGCCACTGACAGTAAAAAAAAAAAAAAAAACATTGTTGTCCTAAATGACAATTTCAACATAAAAAGCTTAGCAAAGTGATGCAAGTGGGCATCCCTTCGGTTGTTTCCCTTTTTACTGATTTCCTGTTTTGTTTCGTGAATGCAACGAGGAGCAGAGCTTCGTTCCACAGTTTTTAGAACTGTGTTTAAAATGCACTGATCCTGCCTGACTCACTCCAGAAATGGAGGAAATGTAAGTCTTTGCAAGATCAAAAAAATTTAGCCATAAATGTAAATTATGTGTAGTTTGTGCAAGGAACACGCTAAGCTCAGCTCCTGCCTTTGAGATCTCAAGTGAAACTGGATACTAACGATGAGGAGGCCGTCTTCCTTGCACTTCTTTGTAGCTTCAGAGCAGAGCTGCTGAAACGCAATTTTGAGGACAAAAGAGATTAGCCCCAACATACATTTTGTCTTCAAAATCCGTAATGTAGACAAACTCTAAAGTTTGCAACACAGTTGCTCAAGGCCAAGATGCATGACAGATGATCTTGCAGTTTAGAAATGTATATTGCTGACATCTGGACTCAAATTCTGAAGAAATTTTCTGAAGAAGATGATAGGGAGGAAGTGAGCATTTAGGTGTAAACCATTTTTCCACGTACAGTCTTTTGTCCAGCAGCATGCATAGGATAGTAAAGTACTTCATATTGCTATTTGTATTAGATTTTACTGGTTTTACTCTCTCTGAGAGTTTTGCTGCTGACCTTGACTGGTGAGTTTGGAAAGCCACAACAGATCAGTGGCTACATGCAAATGAATTTGAGGGTGGGACAAGAAGGGCATCCAGAGGTGACCCTGGGCAGAGGTGGATATATATGATTCTTCTTGCCTTACGAGGATGTAAGCTGGTGACAGCCACAGGTTTTAGGATCTTTGTGATCCAAATGATTGAGAAAGAGTTATGGAACTACAGGGGCTTAGCAACTCCAAAGTGTCAAGAGATTGAGAGAGCCAGGAGGCTTAGAAAGGAGCCAGACCACAGCTCCCTAAATGGTCAGGTCTCCAGAGAGAGCAACAGTGAAGATGTTACAGCTGGCTGTGCTGGAGGCCATTCCAGGTCCTGAACCTCTGCTGGCTGCATTGCCCACTCCAAGGAGAAGTTACCTGTTAGTTCATTGCAGCCTTTCTATTCCAAAGATCCTGTGCTGCAGCATCATTAAAACAGGTGCCTCAATTTGAATCGCACCACTATTTCAGCGTCGCCAAAGAAACGGAGGAGTAATGCCCAGGTTGTAACTCCGAACAAAGTGAATGAAGCATGCTGTTGGCTGAAACCTGTCTTTAGGTCAGAGGAGATGGAGCAGTGCAGTATCTTCTCTGAAGGTGTCCTGAAAGCACTATGTACAATATTAAAATTTACTCCTATTCGATTTTTTGTTAAACTCAGTCCAGCGGGTCACAAAAAACATTAAACAGGACCACAGATTCACTCCCGTATCTTTTCAGTCTTTATCTGACTTGGAAGGCAAGGCAGTGGGTAGAAAAGAGGAAGAAAATCAGTTTTTAACAATGCCCGAGGTACTTGGTTTCCAAAACGGTTACAGCCAAGCCACTCAGACTTTGCAGGTGGAAATGTTTGGGTCTCCGAAAGTTAGATGAGTGAATGATGGTATTCCTCTGTGTGGCTACACCGTTTATCATAACAAGCTTTACAGGAACAGTGGGGCCAGCAGCTCATGCTGCCTCAAAGCCAGATGAGGATCTCAGTGGACCTGGTTCAGGTTTGCATTAACCAAACTGACCTACCATTTCTGCACTAGCCAGAGTACCCTTGGGTGAGGTCCAAATCCCAAACATGCATAGTTAAAGATCATTCTTCAGAATGCAACCGTGTTACTGAGTCAGTTGGATGTACCTTAAAAATCACAGCCATGCCCTGAGACAGGGCAAACCTGGAGTGCCTTGCTCAAACTCTGGGTCCTGCTGTCACTAAGCTGAGCACCTACACAACTAATATGCACTCACATCTCCTAAGCAAGAGGAAGACTAGGAAGAATCCTGTGCAGGACGATAAGGAGTCTTGAACAGGAGTGAATGCTTAGGCATGCTGCATCTTACTCACATGGGTTTGCTGCCAAAGCGATGTTGGCAGCCCGGGCCCATGGTTCCTCCTTCTGCTGAAACGTCGCAGCACCTGCTGCAACAGTTTAGGCATTTCTAGTGGCTCTGTGTCCAGGCTCAGGAATCTGCACTCTCTGGTAGCTGCACAGGATCCAAAGAGCGCAGCTCAGTGAGGCATCTTCCCTGTGGGCTCAGGCACTGTCATGGCTGAGTATAACTGACCTCGAGAAGCGTCGGGCCATACGTGGTGTCGGTGTAGCCAGGATGCTTCTGCTGCATCTCAGCAGTTGAAGCTGGGGTGGGGGGGTTGCCTGGCAAAGGGGGTGGAATTTCCATCAGTGAGTAAGGGCTGGGTGAGGCACCAGCATGTGGTGCACAGGGAGGGGAGGATGAAGCTGTGCTTTTCAAAACAGTTCTCAGAGAAACATGGGAGAGAAGGGAGGGCTTTTGCATTAGGGGGGTTAGACTGCTGATGCTGTTAAAAGATCGCGTGTGTAATAC